CATAAATAATATTTCCTCTAACAAAATGAACATGATTATAATAGGATTGTTGTTATGTGGTTAAAAGTGATGCCTTACAGCAAGAAAGAACAGCAGTTTCCAGCTCTGGGGCCTCATTTATAACGCCTTGCGTAGGATTGACGTGAGAAGGTTGCTTACGTAGTACAAAGCAAAAAAATAGGTACAGAAATGTTCCGACATTTTCCGATTCACAAAACATTGCGTACCGGCGAGGGAAGTGCGTACCGGCACTTCATACGCCTGTTTCCCTTTATAAATCACAATCGACTCGAAATGCGGCGCAGCTTTTGCAGGCTTCACGTAACGCCCATATTTGCCTATAAATAGTCAAAGAAACGCCCATTCATTCATTCATTTTTGACTGACTGCATGAAGAACATCGCAGGAAATTACGACCGAACAGCTAAAAAAGACATCTCACACCGTGTCACATTTTGGTTATTTTGGGGAGGTCGAGATAAATCATATTGTTTGGTGGATGCAGTTTGAACCAGAGTAGCAGCATGGAGGTCGGATCGTCACCAAAATAAATAAATAAGTGGTCCGAAAAAAGTTAATGACAAAAAAAATACACATAACCTTCCTCAGGCAGTGTGTTTGTCCCGGGGACAGGAGACACCCCCTTGATGAGAAACTGTAAGAAATGATCGGGGAATCCCTCCGGAGTGGAGTCATGACGACTGGATCTGAATTATTTTGTTGTATTTGGTGGTTTGTGTTCCAGCTGTCGATCAGCAACTATATATCCATAATCCACCAGTTAAAGGAAATACAACTAATGTGTTACCACATATGGTGTTCTTAGTTTCCATACCTCCTATGTTTTACGAGCGACTTATCAAGTCTTGGCAAACGGCATAAAACACGATTAAACGTGATAGTATATAAAACCATGCTCGTATCTACAACCTATAGAAATACAAAACGGCGTCAGTTTAGACGTTATTCTGTCCTCCTGCTTACCGCATCATTTATAAGAAAACATTTCATAACATTAACACTGTAGTGCCGAGAGAAGGGAGTCGGAGGCGGTGCATCGAAGGTGCAAATCTGGCTTTAATGAGCGACAGAAATGGACATGCTGTCGGGTCGCAGCCCGGGAAGAGAAGAGAAAGCGAAAGGGAGGACACACAGTAGGTACACAGTAGGTACCGTCAACATATTTGTCCGTGCGGAAACAATACCCCCAACCTGTAGTTCCATGAGTGAATTATGTAACCTAGTTAATTAGTGATCACTACACAAGCCCCCCCAGAATTCAACCATGGACACAATCCTCGTGTCCGGGAGGAAGCACCACAGGGGCCGAGGAGGGCGGGGCCGCCGGCGAGGGCCGGGCCATGGAACGGGCCGTCGGAAGGGGGCCGCAGGAGAAGGTAGGGGCCCCAACGAGGGCGAGGGCATCCCCACCGGGGGGTGGGGGGCGGGCCGGAACGGGCCGTTGTCAGGGGGCCGCAGAAAGCAGGGTCGCTGTGTTGCGACGTGGGGACAGGCGTGTATATCCCGGTGGTCCCCAGCAGGGAGGAGCGCTGCCCGGCCGCAGGCGAAGGCACAGCGGTGGCGGGTACGAAGTCCTCGGGAGGAAGGAGCCGTGTCCCCGGGAGGAGGGAGCCGTGGACAGGGGAGAGGCCGTCCGAAGCCGCCGTCGAGGCGAACCGTGAGCCGAACCGTGAGCCGAACCGTGAGCCGCGGTTAGAGGAGAGGCCAGGCAGGGTCCCGAAGCGCGCCACCCACGGGCCGATGAAGGCATGGGCGACGTCCGAAACCGCCGAGGCGAGGGAAGAGGCCAGACAGGGTCCCGAAGCGCGCCACCCACGGGCCGATGAAGGCATGGGCGACGTCCGAAACCGTAGAGTCGAGGCGAGACGGGGTCCAGAAGCGCGCCACCCACGGGCCGAAGAAGGCATGGGCGACGTCCGAAGCCGCCGTCGAGGTGGTGAAAAAGCGAGAGGGTCCACACGAGGCCGACCAGACATGGCCGAACCTCCTCTCAGGCACCAGAAAAAGCTCAAAAGGGTCGTCCTGTCCACGAACAAAAACAGGAGGGCGAAATAGCGAGAGGATCCACACGAGGCCGACCAGACGTGATCGAACCTCCTCTCCGGCACCACAAAAAAAAAACAGTCGGATGTCGATAGCCGCTAGCTGCTAGTCGTTAGCAGCCGTGGCTAGCCGTTCTCGACGGCTGTTAGCCGCTGTCGTCGTCGTCGGCCCCGGAGCCCCTGCTAGGCGGCGTGCCCCCACCAGGGAAGGTGCCGCAGCGTGCAGTGGCCAGCACCTCAGGGGTAAATCGCCGGGCGGCCAGGAAGAACCGGCTAGCTTCTTCGGCCAAAGCGCGGGGCTCAACACTAGCCGTGTTAGCTAGCGCAGCCTGGACATGCAGCCGCATGTCCCGAAGAAACAGCTCCACGAGGTAGAAGTCGGGTTCCTCCATACCTAGCAGGTCGTGCATCGTCTCCTCGTAGTAGGAAGGCTCGCTGCCTTCCAGTGCCGAGACGAAACGAGAATGGTGAGCGACGTCCTCAGCCATTCCGTGGGGCGCACCGAGCCTCAGTCCGTGTGCACGTGGCAGCCACGGACGTCTCCAAAAATCTCCGGCATTCCGAGAAAAACAGTGTTTGTCTTTTGCCGTGTTCGGGTCAGTCTCGGATCCTTCGCGAGACTTATGTCAGGGTCACCAATGTAGTGCCGAGAGAAGGGAGTCGGAGGCGGTGCATCGAAGGTGCAAATCTGGCTTTAATGAGCGACAGAAATGGACATGCTGTCGGGTCGCAGCCCGGGAAGAGAAGAGAAAGCGAAAGGGAGGACACACAGTAGGTACACAGTAGGTACCGTCAACATATGTGTCCGTGCGGAAACAATACCCCCAACCTGTAGTTCCATGACTGAATTATGTAACCTAGTTAATTAGTGATCACTACAACACAACATATTCGAGGTGGTTTTAAATAACTTATCCGTATTTATTTATTTCTCCAAGTTATGTTTTTGTGTGCACTCAGGAGTCTCAAACAGGCGTTTGTTTAATCATTTTAAGATTGGCTTTAATCAATGTTTGAAAATGAATTCTTCATATGATAAATGAGAGGTAACATTTTATTTATTTCCACATATTTCTCTCCATTCTTCCTTCTGCCAACGGTGTCGCAGTTTCTCGTCTCTCCCGTTGTTGTGCTTAGTGCGTACGCATGGGTTAGAGTTTGCGTGGAGGACCGCACATTTTCCCGTCAAGTTAGTATTTTATAAATCGCAAACATTGCGTAGAAACTGGCGTACGCCATTTTTTGAGCGTATATCCCTTTATAAATGAGGCCCCTGGTCCTCTGTGTAGTTAAAGGTCCCATGTCATGCTTTTCCAGTATTACTCGTCCCCTTGTGTGTTATGTAGCTTTTTCTGTAAACGGTCTGCAAAGTCACAAACCCTCAAAGTACACCCTGAAGCGAGTAAAACTCTAACACAGAAAAGACCTGTCTATGCTGCCCCAGAACGCCTCGTTGGAGATTTTTCTTTTTCCATTTTTTTCTTCCTGAGTATAGTGACGTAACCATACCCAGGTCCAAATGGACCAATCCGTGGAGCTCCTCACACACACACACTCACTCAGCCTTATCTTTTCTCAGCTGCGGCTCCGTGGATTTCTCAGCCTGAACTCAGCCTGAGCTGTGAGTTTGTGTGTGTGCTCAGGCTGAGTTCAGGCTCCGTTTTGCGGTGTCTCGCTGTCTCGCAGACCCCACACAGCAACCAGGAAACAACCCCAGTAACCCAGCTCACACTGTCCGCAGCAGCGAGACCCCACGCAGCATTCTCATCGGTTTTTCATTACTGGTGTCATTTTTCTGGTTGCTAACGCCATTGTAACACATAATCACTGATGTTCCGCTGTAACGGTGGTGGACTCATCAGAACAGAGTGGGCAAGCTGACCAATCAGAGCACAGTGGGCTCCTAGGGAGGGGGGGCAGGAGCTCCCACAAGCGGTTTAGGACAGAGAGTGAATACACATACTATACAGAGATGCTGTATTGCCCCTTTCACACCAACGTGGTTCCCGTTCTAGCTCCGTGCTAGAGCTTTTCTGGTCCGGAACCGTTTTTTCTTTTCAGCACCAGTTTTGTTCACACCGCCCAGAGCCCGACTGGTGCTGCCGCTGCTGCGTCATGATGTCATCGTTTACGTCGCTGATTTTCTCCCCAATGGCGTTGGGTCGATGATCGTGTTGCTTTTAATCATACGAAGCCAGAGTGCCGTCGTTCATTGTTTATTAATGTGTTTCAGCGGCATTTACCGACCGCTGCAGTGCTGCCCGCTGTTTGGCATCACAACGCTGTTATGAAAGTTTCTCTGGTATAAAATGGGTGATGTTAGCATAGCAACCGAAGCTAAACTGACTATCTTGACTACTTGTTGCTATCCTATTGTGGCATAAGCCGGCACATTTTACCGGCGTATTTTTCATTATGATTCTACTTGTGATAGTCGGACATGAGTCATGACAACCTGTGCAGCCCATGTATTGATTCCATCCAATAGCTGCTATAATACAAAGCAAAACGTTTGCCTGCTCTCCACAATGATCAATGACAGCGAACGGATGGTCAAAGTAAGGTACAAATAAACAGAATCACACGAAGCCTGGTTAGTGTTGCCTGACTTTATAAAGTGTCCCTGCCCTGGAACCGTGTTGGTGTGAAAGGGGCATATGAGAAACCAATGTGATTTTGGAACATTGAACAATGTAAATCCATTCTAGTACATGTAGACCTCAACAATGGAATTATGATCAGTAGAAATGGCCATGTCATGGGACCTTTAAAATGTTTCTCTCTTCTTATCAGGCTTAGTCATACATGTAACTGTTGTGTGTTTATATGTGTATTTGCCAGGGTCTTTTGGAGGAAAATGTACTTATTTGTGTAGCAGAATTTTTATCAAAATTGTTTTCAATTGGCTCAACACAATATGTTTATGTGTCCCTGTAGGTGGAACTTTATCCTGCTCCTGTCAGTATGCTCAGCAGTACTCTCTGCAGAAGAAGACTACTTAGCTCAAGGTAAACAACACCCTGATGTATTTAAACACTTCAAATTATCTCTCTGACATTTCATCCACCCATATCTACAGCCAGTTTTTGTTACCTCATCCATGTAAGCACATTTTCAAATCTTGGGGAAATAGAACATTGGTATCAGGTTCATACTTTGCATTGGCAGATAACCTGACTTAATGTTCAGAAGCAGTTCTTAGACTGAAAAACGATTTGTGATTTAAGAATGGTGAACCCCTCACATTGCAATACACATTTTACAGTGCATGATTCACAGTACTTGTAGACAACAACTCAAAGGTGAATATTTACCCTTTTTGTTCCATATTGAAGCAAGTTTAAAGGGACAGTTGTTCAAGCAGTTATAATCTTTCCTTACTCCCTTTCCCGTGTTAACCTTTACCTCAACATGTTGGCTCTTGCTCTCCAGGCCACAGCGTGAATGTACTGTAAAAGGGGACCTATCATGCAAAATGCACTTTTTGATGTCTTTTATACATAAATATGTGTCCCCGGTGTGTCGGGCAACTCACGCAGCGTCGGCAAATAAAACCCTTTCTCTTTTCCTCCGTACCCACATCTTTTAAAAACGGGGGTACAACGAGCGGATACAGATTTGCTGCCGATATTACGTAATTTCGGATGGTGGACCCACAGAGAGTTGCTATCCGAAACAATGCCTGATGTGTTTTGGACGTACTATGGTATTTGTTTACATTAGCAAGCCTCGCTAACACTCAGAACTAACCTGTACTGAAGAGCACATTTGTTTAAAAAGCAGGAAATAAAAAAAGGAACTCACCTTGTGGTAAACCCGCAGGAGAAAAATAATTTGAGCTCCATACTGTTTCAGAAATAATCCTTGATGTGGTTTAGAACAGGATGGCGTTTTATCACAGCAGAATTTAACTTTATCTCCGGTATAATTCTGATCAGGCATTAGCTCCGCCTCCTCTTTTTATTTTTTCAAGCTAAGGACCAAAGATCCGCGTTTCTCTAAACAGGGCTGGAATAGAGGGATATCATATGAGCAGTGGCAAGCCGTGACTTTTATACCTAGGCCCCTCGAAAATTATAAAAGTAGGGTAGACATGTGGATATTATCCGGCTGAACAAAACATGCATTTATCTAACAGGTTCGTTTTCCACAGACCTTATTTCCAGCTATTTTCCAAAATCCTATGGAGAAATCCCATTGCTTTTTTGTCGAGGGAACCCATGCGCAGCTTACTTCTGGGTTTTAGGACGCGTCACTGCACCACTTTATACACATGTATAAACCTCACAGCGGGCGGAACTTGTCATAAAGTCCGCGAAAATAAAGCCCAGCCAATTAGAGGGAAGATATGATTGGTCAATTGTACTGTCATTTGACATTACTCTCTCATTGAGTTACTATAGCGGGCCCTCTATGAATTTACAGCAGGACCACCAATCAGCTCCTGTCTTCACAGTAACTCGCAGAGAGGGCCAAAGGAGTTAACAGGCAGATTCAAAGGATTTATTTCTTTGGAAATGTTATTTTAAATACAATTAAATCAAATTATTTTTGGTAAAACTAACGAAAAATATAACTAAAAAAATATTTTAAAATAATCTTTTTTTTTTATGTTTTCAAATATAATTGTTTAGAATATCTTAGGCCCTCAGAGACCTTAGAGGGCCCTGACGGCTCCCCACTGCATATGAGGGATGTCTAAAATGCATGATCTGTTTGTATTTTGAGAAAAATACATCATAGACATGTTTTTATATATTTTTATATATCAGACCCATAATATATGCCTAAAAATAGCATGATAGGTGCACTTTAATAGCCTCTCAACTCTTGTTGATTCTCCAGATGCCCATCTTTTTCCTCCCAGTGCTCTCAGGCTTGAAATATGTCACGTGCAAACATTATTTGAAGTACATGCTAAGGAGAACACTCTGGGAAAGTACACCAATTAGTCAGACATAGATGGAGAGGAAATCTCAAGTTTTAGCTTAGCATGTATTCACATTTTGTCGAATGCTGAAGATAAGATTATATCAATGAGTTTAATATACAAACAAACTAGGCAACCTTAGTTAGAGGAATTGAAGGTAAGAAAAGCAGAGATGGATGACAGGTAAAACATTTTTTTACCAGATCAGATTCATTATAGCTGTTGGAATATAACTCCGGATGTGTGCCTATACTCGGCAATAAATAATGGTGTAAAAAGAATGTAAAGAAAACGCTGTTATGTTTTGATATAGCGAGTTGCACATTATGAATTTGTTGAGAGGCTGTATCGTGTTCTGAGTGGCATATAACTGCGTCACTGTCAGGAAAACTTCCCAGTGAACGCACACTGAACTTAAGGTTGATCTCACAATGAGTCTTCACATATAAGATCACATCTGTACATGTATGTGCACTGTCTGTCTACTGCCTCTTTATCAAATTGCCTCATGTGTCCCTCCCCTTATTCCGTCTCGTATTGTCTTCCCCCCCCACACATCTATAGTTGAGAAGCCCACTCCAAGCAGGATCAATCCATCAGAACGAAAAGAGGAGGAATGCACACAGAGTGCTAGAGCAGCTTGTCTTCACATATGAGACAGGTTAATTGGAATCTGGGCTGACTTTACCTGGGGCTAAGAATGTCAAGGACATCTCAGTGCATGCTTGGATCAGCGGCAGATAGATAGTCTCTCTTCGTGAGCTGCAGGACTATAAATGCTGCAAAATAACATCAAAGACGATGAACCGCATGTCTTATTTCTGTTTATCAGACATTCTCCCCTTGTTTCTCTGTTCCCTCCAAAGCCCTGACACAGAAGAAAGAATGCTTCTGTTTCTGTTTTCAGTGTTATATCAACCCATCTATGAGAGAAAAGCTACTACGGGCCTCCACTTTTATCCAATAAGTAGTCCTTCCCCTAGTAGCTTTATGAATTAGTAGCCAAATACTAACTTGTTAATCGCGCATAAAATGACGTGTCCTTAGAGATCATTCACCTGCTTCAACCCCCCCAAAATCATACTACTAAATGCCACAACTACTTTTTGAACCTGATATTTAGCTTAAAGTACATTTTATTTGAATGGTGACAAAGTTACGCTATTAAATGTTGATCATTCTTGTCTGGACAGTTCTTAAAATAAGGTAAATATCTGCATCAAGCATGATCCAATTGTTTCAAGTCTAAACTTTTACAACTTCAGGTTTGATTTATGTCACTGATAACATACTTTAATTCCTGCTGCTTTCTTCTTATAAAGATCTTCCTTATACGAAGTGAGCATCTGGTAGCTTGTTCAAACAATTCTCCTGTCAACATTTCAGAATTTCAGAAGTTATAGACAATTTGATTTGATCCCCTGACCAAGGTAAAGGTCAAAAGTTTGTACACGTGCAACTTTTCTGAAATAGGCAAGTTATGGCTTTGATGCCTTTTTTTTTCTTTTAGTGTTTGCAGTCTTCACAGTTGTTAAAAGTGTGAACCCATAATGCTTTGCCAAAAGGACTTGGTTAAACAAATACTTTAAGATGATGATGCAGTTGAAAATGTTGCTCTGGAAATGCATATCAGTGATTGAGTTAGTGCATTCCGTTTCCCCTCAGCAATGAAAATTAACGAACCCCTCTTACTCTTACCTCTTCGTACTCGCATGGTATTAATCTCAATATTCCCCTTCTCTTTTGAGAAGATGTACATGCACAGGTCAGGTCAGCTTCTAAAATGACAGACACAATCCGTTATTGATTTGATGTGATTTACATTTACGATATGTATCAGCTATACTTCCCATTTTTCCCTAAAGCTATAACCGCTCATTACTTACTTACTGTATGTGATACATGTAACATGTCCTCCAACCTAGTTATATGTCTATTGCTTTTAGTCAAGCCAAAACTGCACAGACTATTCTCTGTCTCCAAATCATTTTAAGTGTTTTGGCCTGGCCGACAGGGCCTCACTGGCAGCCAACTTAACATAAAGTACCTGTGGGCATTGGGAAATAATGACAGGACCATTTGGAGGAAATCTGCTCTTCTCTGGTGGCAGATTGATTAAAAAAGGCTGTGTGGACTGGTTTCCTGTATCCTTGTCAGGCCCCATCCTTCTATAGTCCCCCTCCACTCATCTGGATCACAGCTGCCTTCTGGTACTTCCTACCAGAGAAAATCAGGGAGAGCTAACCAGCATCATGGGAGACTGACCAGTTACTTATTTTCTTCGAATTTGATTAAACAAATATTTAATGTTATGTAATGTCCCACATTTGTTTGCCTTTGTTGTATTATATGTTTTCTCGAGCTAACAGAAGTGCCACAATATCTATAGATATTTTATAGTAATTTCAGACCACCTTATGATTGAACTCATTTGTATGAATGCCACTTTTTAGTACCGAAACCGTTTATTCTTGTTTTGGTCAAGATGTTAAAAGTGCTGTTTCATTTTTTTGCTTTAAGTTGAAATTCTTTGTGATCCAATCCTGGCCTGTTAACTTACCACTGCCTCCTCTGTCCTTTTAGGAGTGGATATCCTCTATCAACTGGGGCTTACAGCTCAAAGCAGCAGAGGCGAAGGGACAAGCCCACCATCAACTACTTACACCACTGTTCCCTCGTCTTTGAATTTTCCAGTTTCTGGATATGGGGTATTACTCGACTCAAACTCCCTCTATGAGGCTCCAGCAGGCAGTCTGTTCTCACCTGAGATTGGCGAGGAGTTCTCTGTCGTTGTTAGCCTAAGCTCATGGCGAGCAAACAATGCTTTTCTTTTTAGTGTCAGAGATGGCAGGGACAGGCTGCGATTTGGCATCCAGCTGCTGCCACGCAGAGTGGTGGTTTACACTGCTGAGAAAGCCTCCATCTACTTCAACCACAACTGGCAGGATGGGCACCAGCACCATTTTGCTGTTGGTGTACGTGCGCGCTCAGTATCCTTCTATGCAGATTGTGGGGCGGTGCAGCAGCGAGAGCAGACCCTGGGGAGATCCCAGACACTGGGAGATTTTGGGGGTCTCTTCACACTTGGGAGGATGAACTCAAAAGCGGCACCATTTAATGGTCGAGTCTGCCAACTAGATATCTATCCTTCAGCCCAAGCTGCCGCGCACTACTGCAAATACCTTAAAACACAGTGCCGGCTGGCCGACACTTACAGATTGCCTTTGCCCCATCCTGGTTCAGATATTGAGGCAAATGACCGGCCTTCTGACCCCTTGAGTATGTCTATTGTTGGAGTAGCAGCTTCCCATCATACCCCCTTAAAAGCCACAGCAACTTTAAACGTGCCACCAGGTAGTATGGTCACACAGCATCCTCAAATGGGGGATCAGAGCCACATTTCCAAATTGGATTCCCATGCCCTCTCAACCATATCCTTACCCCAGGCTCACAGCCCGACCATTGCTACTCTGAGTCGACGAGCAGTTCTGGATCTATCTGGAACTATCACCACTACCAACAATGTTTTGGAAAAAGAGAGTAGCCCTCAGGAGGACACTGTTGTCTCTGAAAACAGCACAGAGGAATTGAGCAGCTCTGGGAGCCTGCAGACTCCAGAAGCCAAACCTGGCCTGATTTCCCTAGTCAGGCAAAGTCGAGTGACGGAAGGACTCAGGAACAACTCCATCACCAGCTCCAAGGACTCTCGCTCTGGGCCCCATCCGACTCATCACCTCCTGGAGACTCATTTTAGAGCCAATGGCACCACGTTGTACCGGGAGAATCACGTTGACACATCAGAACAGCATGACCTGGACAGCAACTACGATGATGTAGACGTGGGAGAATATGATTATGGATATGAGGATCCAGAATATTTTTATGACTACGAAGATGGTTTCCCTGGCCCCAAAGGAGAGCCAGGTCTTGCGGTAAGTGACTGAATTAGTAAAGCTATGAGTGTCTATGGAACATAATTCAAAGACTAGAGGCACAAGTCGGTGCATTGCAGCACATGTTTAAATGGAAAATATTCATACGAGGCACTTAAAGGTAATTTATGACCATCACATTTAAAATGCTATGTAAAATTTGGCTTTGTTACATACACACAGGATATGAAAAGATATTTGGCAGGGCGGTGTAGTGATTTAGTGGTGATGGCATGTCCAAGCACTGTTCTTTTTTCATGTATCTACAAGTTGTTAAAATAACACATCATTCCCTTGCTGAAATGCTGCCAGCAACTTTGAATCTTATTATGTTAGAGAGAATATTTCATCTGACGGTTGGAGGTATACCCTCGCAAAGAAATCAAGCCATAATGATGTAATCTGCCTGTCAAGATGGCTTTGCCACTGAACATGCTTTTATAGTTTAGATTTAAAGGTTGTGCTAATGTTTCTATGAATGAAATGTGTCAGGTATGTTTAATTTAGGAGTGTGTAAGATGTCTGGACTCATCTTTTCCAGTTTCCATAGCTCACTTTCAAAGTGCTTACAGGTATTTAGGTGGAAAAAGGCTTTGCCAGCACTGAGTCGTTGCACTTATTTCCACTTCTCGCACTGAACTGCAGTATTGTGAGCATGATATCGTCCAAGCCTGGACTACTCCGACCACTTTGATACATGCATGCTTTAAAACATTGATCAACCGAGTCAGTGGCCAATCTGTGTCATTGCATCTATGTTTAAACTTGGAAAAAAACTCTGGTTTACTTCCTCAGGGGAAATATTTCATAGTTGTGCAGCCAAATGACTAGAAAGACACATGGCATGTGCAGGCTGAAAGCTTGCGCCTGGTTAAACCCTGCAATCCTGCCAGTTTGTTTTTTGTTCACCTAAACCCTCTGTGTCAAAATCCCAGGTGTTTTGAGAGGGACCCATTCTGGCTTTTGAAATCATTATAATTAATGGGACCTGTTTAGATCAAGTTTTTTAATTCTGAATTATAAAAATGCTTCAGAATAAATATAAAGGCTTTAAAAAGAGAGTGAGGTTTTGACTTCAGTTAATCATCATTGCTTCCTTAATGCATTCTGGTTATCTCTCAGTTACCTGCTCTGTTAAAGCAACCCACTGTACATCAGACGGCTTGCTTATTGACTGCATGTTGGGTAATATTGAAGTGGCATGATAGTGTCACACGATGCTATAAGTTCTGATGACTAATTCTACACTTTAACTACAAAGAAATTTGCCTTTTTGATTTGCCTATGGGAAAATATTAAACATTTCTTGTCAGCACAGATGAAGCATTTTTTAATGATCATTTTACATCTGTTTGTTGTGGTGAAGGCGGTGGTGTGCTCACTGTTTCCATGTTTCTTTGTGTGGGAGTCTAGAGGAACAAACAGCTGTTTCTTTATTCATATCTCCCTCTGTGCCAATCTACTGCTCTTTCCAGGGATGAGGATGCTCAAAGGCATTCTATCCAAATGTTTTGCTGTAGCAACAAATCTACAATATCAATTTCATAAATACAGTATAACAAAAAAATATTTTCAGGTGTGAATATGTTTTTTAAGTTTTGTATGACTATGGCTGGCCTTACAGAGCAGTAGAAAACCCTAAAGGATAAATAGCTTCCTTGAAGGAATTTCCTACTGACTCCTTAATGTTGTCCATTAATTACAATTGCTGTTCAGCTCTGTAATCTTGAATAAACCTCTACTTTCAGGGGAATGACATTACTTCTAACACATTTTTCAGAATAAAAGGATTTGTCCTGCTATATCTGATACTTTGTATCTTTATTTAAAATCCCTTTTATCAATTAAGATATTTCAGAACTCGGCTGCCTGATATTTGTCTAATCTGATCATGATGCTTTGTTTGTCCTAATGTCTTTTTGAATGTTCATAGTCTCCCTGAAAGGCATTTTCTTGTCAAAACTTTTAGAGGAAGTCAATTTCCACTGCAGGTCAGAACTGACACATCTGTGCCTGTACAGAGCAGCTGGAAAGATCAAATATGCTGGCAGCAATTATAGCAATATAATGAACAAGCAGCATGAGTTAGGAATGACATACTCAGACGAAAAACCCCTTTACTCCACAAGGTACTATACACATGTAACAGTGAAGGTGGATCCAATGGTTTTCAAAATGTTGGAACCTGCAGCTCTGCCTAGTCAGAATTTAAAGATTTTTTTTAAATAATGTTAGATGTGTCCTTGACTAATTTACAAGGTCAAAGCCCATTGTTGAAGCCTTGGTCATTTATTGATCCTCCAATCTGTTAAACAATTACATGGCTCTTTGATGGACACACCACTTTTTACTAAATGCAACTTTTAATGAATTCTATATATATATATATTTATATATTTGAAAATGATAAAAAACCTTCTACCAAAACACTGAAAGAAACATCAGATTCCATTCAGCATGAGTCTTGATACCGGGACATGTCATGATTTTGTTACATATGTTTCATACTTTGTCTTTCCATGACGAAGGATTAAGTTAATCCCACGGGCTGACCAAAAGATGATGTTGTCAGTCTCATCTCAAGAATGTAATTTGAGCCTTCTGCTCAGAATTCCTAATAGAGCTTTTAGTTGAAAACAGTTGGCTTCTGTCTTTGAACTTCATAGCTCTTACATAAATATAGCACATATTCTTCATTGCAGAGGCCTGGACAGTGAATTGCATGTTATTGCTTCCCATTAACATACTCTATCTCTCGTTTCCCCCCTCACTCCCTCTCTCTCTCACCCACTCCCTAAAACATACCCTTCTTTTTCTCCCTGTGCCTCCGTCTCTAATTTAGGGTCCTCCTGGTCCCCCCGGTTTACCTGGTCCTTCAGGAAAAAGAGGTCCTCGGGTGAGTAAACTGCGCTAAGGTCACGGTACAATGGCAGATTTAAAAAAACAAAAACAAGTCTTATCTATGGATTAAGAATAGTATTATGACCGTTTCACTAAATGTGACAGTGGCAACATATAAAAAAGGGGATGCTTTTATAACTAGCAGACGTGTTTTTTTATAAAGTAGAAAACTGCTGTTACACTTTTATTTAGGATGGTTAGTAAACATGTGCCAAGAAAGACTAATCCAAGATAATATAAACACAAATACGTTTTTGCTGGTCATAAAAGGACAATACACATGAAGAGAAAAGTCAAGGACAAAAAGTGCTGTTTTGTTTAGATTTAGATTTGCATAATCTTTTGAGATACCGGCCACTCAGGGGCCATCATAGGAGATACAGTATTGTTGTTTGATCACTGAGTCACTAACAATGGGTTCAGATCAGGCTTCTTCGCTACACTAACACAACCACAAAATACCTTTTTTCCTTTTCATCTTTTGTTAACGCAGTTATCAGGCAATTACCTTTGTTTGAACCATATTGTATCTACCGTCACAGTCCTGCTGTCGGGAAAGAGGGACATTTTTGTGGTTAGCATTATTAAACTCAAGAACAAGCTCAGCTTTGTGAAGGATCATGACAATTAGATAGTTTTCTTTGAGGATGCAGGCAGCATTGTTTATTTGTCAGCACCTTTGGAGCACCAAAGATGAGTGACCAAACTGTTCCAGATGAAACAAGCTGCAACCAGCAGAGGCTTTGGCGGCACAGGCAGCATTTCCCATCTGTACTTGAGACTACACTCTAAGCAACTGTCGAGTCTTTCATGATGCAATGCTGCGTTCATACCGCAGGCCCTGAAGGCATCTTTAAACAGAACAAGACATATCTACATAATGGATGTGGTATGTGCTAGAGAAAAGGTGTATAAAAAGTTCTCTCATGGTTGTTGTAGCAGTCTTCCCTGCACAGCAATATCTTCTGGCGAATATAACTCAGAGATTGTAATTATAGACAATGTCAGTGTCTCTTGGAGACGATAAACATAAAGTTTGATTACCTTTTAGACTGTTTTGAAAACCAGCCACATCAAACAATGACTCTCAATCAACTGAATAATGAGTAGTAACAAATCATTGCACATTAACATGGAAAAATGTTGTTAGTACATGTTTATGTACAAGTTACACTATATATCTGTCTGTTTTAGACAATAGTTAACTGTTTGCATGAATTTAAAGTTACAAACAGTTGTAGCATATATGGCTTCTTTTTCAATTTCTATTAAGAGTAAAACATCTCTTCATTAAAACCGCTTAAAGGTGGGGTAGGTAAGTTTGAGAAACCGGCTCGAGATACACTTTTTGTTATATTCCATGGAATGCTCTTAACATCCCGATATCAATGAATATCTTAAGTGCTTTGACAACAAATCCATACAAAAAATGTCATCTGTGGAAGCCGTAATACTGTAAAAAGCACGACCAATCATTTTAGCCGGCCCGGCTAAAATAACTGGATGGCCTACCTGCCTGTCAGCCTTCCATCTGTGCACAAACTTATCTCCTGCCCTCATTGGTCATGTGCGCGTTCGTGTGTGTTGGAGGAGGGGCTCTATAAGGAAGTGGCAGATCTTTTCCGGTTGTGTATTTTCAAATTCTAGCGATCTCGAGCTGGTTTCTCCAAAATTACCTACCCTACCTTTACAGTAAGATGTTGCATTGTTTTCATCATAGCAGCAATATATTATTATTTAATTATTTGTAATATTTACAATTGCATCTTTTGCTAATTGGACTAAATGCAGCCTTATGTTCTGCTGTATTCTTCTTAACAGAGAATGACAGGCAGACTGAAAGGCAGATGGACAGGAAGACAGGCTGGTAGACAAAGAGGTGGCAGACAGTAAAACATGTTTCTAGTAAAAAAGGCTTGGAAAGCACGTAGCTGATACAGAACATACTCTCAGCCCATAGGCTAAGTCATAAAGTGGAGACAGAGGGAGGCCTTGCAATCATTATGTGGTGGGAAGCTGGGGGCAGTATGGATACTGAGGTGGTGTCTGCTGCCTCAGCACAGAGCAGCAGACTTATTTTGCTGCCTCTAATTGTTAACGTTATCAGACTATAAACCAGGGCACCCCATTTGGTGGTGGCATTTGTCATGGAAACAAACTAATTTATCAGAGGTGCTTTTACTGTAAACAATCTCTGAAAGGGAAGACAGTTTAAGAATGTAGTTGGGGATTCATACCCTAATTTATTATTTTACGCAGGATGAGGTTGCAATACATTTTCGTATTGCTGTTTTCAACACTTTTAAAGAAATCTTGAGACTGTGTGATAAGGCCAAATACATGTCACAACTGGCAATAGAAATCGGTAGATTTTGTCAACAAAACATTTTGTTGGTTAAATTCTAAGACTCAGATTACCCACATTAAAAAGAACAGTGAGAGAATGCCAAAGATTGAGATTTGTACTGTAGTGCAAATAAAGCATAGTGTGTGAGTAGTTGGGTTACAGATGTGCAGGTATGTAGCATATGTATGATGTGTTTGTGAGTGTGATTGTGTGTGTGCATATTAATGTGCACATCCAGTTGTGGGCATATATGTGCATGTATGGTTATAAGTCCTTAGTTCAACAAAAATGTGCTAATTTTCTAATGTTATGTTTAGATAGTTAGTTTATTGTCTTGGATCTGGGGGGGGGCAGACATCAGGGAACGAGTTTGAAACGTCTTGACATGTAAACCACAAAGTTATTAATGATTTGTTATTAAATTCTTTGCTCTTTCTAACGCTGTCTTCATCTTTTCCAGGGTCCCGTTGGTCCAAATGGAAACCCAGGACAGCCTGGACCACTTGGGCCCAAGGTGAGAGGCCTTCTTTAATTATACACGTAAACAGCTAAAAAAACATTTATAGAAAATGGTGATACAATGAGATTTGTCAGAAAAGCCTCTGCTGTTTGAGGGAACTTTCAATTAATCTGTAGTAGTGGAGGGATCTACAACAGAAATGGTTAACAATGTATCATTGTTAAGGATATTGCAAACAACTGATACTAAGCAGTCAATACAGGGTTGAATGAAGTGGTCTGCCTGAACTACTGTCATGCTTTATTGCATTTTTTTATTATTATGATGGACATATCAAGGTCCTTGCTTGGTCGAAAGATGATGTAACAATTATAAATACCATGGATGATGAGGCTGGTGATGTTTTGAGAACTACACAATTTGGAAAATTGAAGGGTACCCAACCTTGCAATGGGATGATGGATAACAAAAAATACACATATGACATATTTACATTTCTTTCTTTAAATGTTTAGTTGCTGGATTAAACTCTGGACTTTGATTTAGAAAGATAATTATGTGTTTTTGACTTTTCTTATGTGATTATAATTGATGTTTGATAACATGAACCCAAATGTAATGTTATACCAGATTCATAAGAAAATAGATGTGCAAAGTTAATGGTGATGTATTATTTTAGGTCAGGGCTTTACACCTTAATGGGATTCTAGTTGAACCGCTGATAACGTTTCGTGCTTTTTTAAATTCAAGTAAATGCCGTTCACGTAGAACATTTGGGGCAGTCTGCACTAGGGATGTCCCGATCATTTTTTTTTGCTCCCGATCCGATTCCGATCATTTGATTTTGACAATCTGCCGATACCGATTTTTCCCGATCCGATCTTTATGTAATGCATTAAGAGAAAAAAAAGGTAACAGATAACGGCTGGTCATCCAACGCGATGAATTCAGCTATCTTGGCTGTTATTTTTTGGGCCTTTTCACTGTTCTGGGGCAGTTTCTCTTTCCTTTTAAAAGTCTCTGAAAGTGTCGGTTATTTCAGTGCCGTTGTTGTTGGTGTTTGTTTCTCAGGTGGCGTATTAGATTGGTCGTGTTGAACGTAGCTCTGTTCTTTCCACCACGCGGAACCTCCGCCTTGCAAACATTGCATCTGGCTGTTACACTGCTTTCGCTTTCAATTTTATAATACTTCCAAACTCCTGAAATTTTCTCTGTCCCGACTCCCGAGTCACCAGCTGAACGTAGCCTCTTGTTAGCTTACTGCTACTATTAGACACTGCGCCCTGCCCACTCTGTTGCCAGATTTGAGAGAAATAAGCAGCCAGGTCTATGAAAGCAAGCCCAAAAGAAGCAACACATACATGATGTTGTGTAATTTTAAACCAAAACTAAGGCCTCAGGATGACTTTAAGACATGGTCATTTTTGGTAAAAAAAAAATCCCGATCCCCGATTTTTTTCTCCCGATTCCGATCTTTTGAAAATCACGTGATCGGCTCCGATCCCCGATCACGTGATCGGATCGGGACATCTCTAGTCTGCACCCAAAGTTAAAGTCTTCAAAGTCATGTACTTTCTAAACCTATAAATTCCTAAGAGGTGGTGATAAATGTGAAAGCACAATTGTTCATAAGGGTCTAGTCGGTTGGATTTCTGAGTCATTATAGTGAAATTAAGATTTCAAAGATGGGGATGACAAGTCTGATATTTGTTCACTGCCTGAGGAAGTGTACTGTCACTGTACATACTAGCCTGCCAATCACCAGCCAGAAACAAGCAACAACTGGAATACTGTAGCAATGTCATTACCGCAAGAAATCAGAGGACATTATATCTAGCTTGATGCCAAGTAGTTGACCCATTTTGTAGAGTTTTCTGTAAATGTTTCAACTGATAGCCATCTCCACTCCCAGTCTTGCAGAACATCAGGTTCTTTTTATAGTCATATTGTTGACTGTTATTGTGCCTGACTCTTTGAACATTTGTCTTTCCTCTCAGCTAGGGTTGTTTTGTAGACTTTATTAGGAGCCCTTTGCAGCCTATGTTGCTTTCTTTACGAAACACTTGTAGTGATGCACTTTATTGCCCTTAAATCCTTTTCACTCTGTAACTGTAAGTCTACTCTACTGTAGTCAACGTTTTTTGTTATCAAATGGCATCAATTATATCCGAGAATGACGTACAGTTCCCTAAAGAGCCAACTCTGCTGCTTGGAGCGTGTACAATTTGGATTTAACCAGACAGCCAGATGTAGGCAAGAGTGATAATAACGAGCCATTGTGGGATCACAGTAAAACAGGAAAGGCTTGAGGAGACAGGGGTGGTGTTTGGCCGAAATGACATACCCCATATCCTAGATCATTTTTGCCACATGGCATAATTTAACTAGTCCCGACTCATTGGTCATGACACTGACATCCAAGAAAGAAAGAAAGAAAGAAAAGACACATTTTTCTTTAACGAACATGGTGCCATATGTAAAGGATACATTGCTACAGTGGAGCAAGGATGTGGTCAACTCCATGCAGATGGATGTGGTGACTGTGGTCCTGTATGTCTACCACAGAGTGACTGCTTACAGCATGCAGTCAGCAGGGGAACACTGATGCTTCACCTTACCCTCACCCTTTAGTCTGGATAGCTCCTCACTGGGTATTGTAGTTATTACATATACTGGATAGCTAAAGATGAGACACATATTTTAAAGTAATTTCATCATGAATGTTGTTCTCTTTGTCTTCCTCATCCCACACGCATAACAAGAAGAATGCTCTTGTTTCCTCCTTGATTAGTCAAACCGCACAGGCAGATGGATGGATTTTTTTTCTGAGTAACCTTTGACCTTGATGGGACACTGTGCACATTTGGCTGAGGGTGTTCCATTGGTCATTATGAAATATGAGGCCACCTGCTTGCTCGCTGTTCCTCAAGCCTATACACCCACATATGTGTGTACAAATACAAAAGCAAAACCACCGTATCTAATACCGTTGTGACCTGTCAGTGAGTCATTCTTACTCCCCCAACCCCTGCACGGAATAGAGATTGAGAGACTCTTTGTCTTAGTTTTGGAAAATATCTCTTGTTGAAATGTTATTGGTCACTAGGACTGATGCAGAGGAGAATAGTCCCTGATGCTGAGCTGAGTTGAAATGTGAGTCAAGCACACTCTGAAATGTTATGACGATGTCCCTGCAGGGCTTAAAGAGCCTTTCAATCTGCTTTATGCACTGCTGACTGCTTTTTTTTTGTTTTATGCTCTTATGTAATTTTCCCTCTTCCACCCACAAGCTTTTCTATGCCTCACTGGCTGTCAGTCAAAACAATAGAAACATGGTGCTAAAAATCTAATGAGGAGAATGTACGGAGCTAAACCACAGATTAATTTCCAGAAAGCAACTTTATGGGCAAAAATGACAACATTCAAATAACCATTTTTAATCAGTTGTGATGTCAGTAGGTGATTGATTGCTTAAGACTCTTCTTACTCTGTGACCCTGTTTCTATTGTAGGGTTCAAAGGGAGATCCCGGGCTGTCTCCAGGCCAGGCTCCAAAAGGAGAGAAGGTAAGAATTCTGCCAAATCTGTCTAAGGCTCCCTGGTCCTCTGTGCTCCTTGCTCCGTTTCTCCTAGCCTCTTCTGAGTGTTTACTTCATTGAGGGTAATCTTGAGACATTTTACCTCAGTCCTCACTTACACTACCTTTAGTATCTGCTCACAACTGCTTTTTCCTCTGCTCTTGATTTCTCAAAGATATCCTAAAATATCCTAAAATGATCCTACATCAAAATTCAACCAGCAAGATAAATCTGTCTCTGTATGTATGTATTCTCGCACATTTTGAAAACCGTTTGATCTAAATCATACCGTCTAATCCATCTATTGATTTGACTTCATTTAGAATTTGTCCAAATTCAGAAACTTCCTCTTAATTCCTTTACTTCTTTTCAGATGTATTCTCTCAGACTTATTTGTCTGCTGTCACACAGCTGGTCTCTCTTACACTCTACTTAACAATCTCCATCTTGTTTCTTTTTCTATAAAAAAACATCACCACAGTAATGATTTTTCCTGAGCAGATAAAGGTCTTGAACTAATTAATCTTCAAAAGTATTTTTCTCCTTTCAGTTTTAATGGTCTGTGCACTCATAGAAATCCCCCTAAGAAAAACTGTCATCTCCTTTCAGAGCCTTTCCGGGATTGTCAAAATAATGTCAAATTTTTACTTGAAACTAAATATAGCATATGTCCGCACAATATTTATCCAACCTCCTCCTGATGTCTTCCACATAAGTTATTGCAAACCTCTCATAACTCTTTGTAACAAGTCTTTTTACCTTTTGTAGCAATGTTTAAGCCATTCCATATTTCTACCTCTCTGAGCTCCATTGACCCTCTCACCTCACGTCCAATCCGATTTTTCAGAATGGCCCAATACTGCTCATCATATGGTTTCAATTAGAAGCATCTTGAATAAATCATTTTTAATATAGACAAAGGCTAGACACTGAGTGAAGTACGAAAGCACTTTTAAATTGTCCCTCTCACTCACCTGTGGAAAATCCACAGCATCCACATTGCCCTGTTGTTCATTAATCACTGATACACCCTGTTGGAAAGATTCAGTGTTAAATCATCAATTCTAATTAGGTTACTTTTGCCTGGGTTATGTGCCAGAGACCTTAAGCAATAAGATTAATTTCCTTTAATAAAACAGTGTTCTACGGTGTACAACTATTCCTTTAAAATGCCTTAATAAAGCTTTTGCAATTGGATCAACACTTTTCTTTTTACATACATCTTCATCTCTGTACTGATGGTGCTTATACATTTGTTATCTGTTTCAACAGGGCGACAGAGGTCCGCCAGGTTTGCTTGGGCCGAAAGGATTTCCAGGCCCACTGGTAAGATTTAAGTTATTAAACTATTCGTGGTCAAAACAGAAGAAGAAAACTCAGAAGTTTTATTGCCAGAAAATAAAAATGTGTAAGGGTTGTCCATATACCTCAGCGTATATTTTACTTTTGAAACAGCGCTTTACTTCTGTCTTTACATTTGTGGAATAATGAGGCAAAAGGAGTCACACATGAACCTAGTTCATACGTAGTTGAAGTTATATGTGTGTTTAAAAATACAGGTTTAGGTTTAAGAACACACACACACAACTTTTCGATTTACTTTGTCTCTCTGCCTCATAAATTGTTGTCTTCTCTACTGCCTTGGCATACCTCAGTCTCTGCATAAAGCTTCTCCCTCTGAGCTCCAGACCGGGCTGTTAGGATTTGTTGCTACCTCACTTAAACTTGATAGGCTTTCAGGTCAAGGCTAAAGGTCTTCTAAAAGAGGAAAGGCACTCTGTCCAGAGTCAGGGGGTCACTGACACACAACATCCCATGCCTCCTCAGGTCAGCAATTGTCAGGCCTAAAGAGGGAGAATTTCATTGATCAGAAAAATGATGAAGGACACTGACATTCTCTCTATGTCCATCATGCCTTTTATTTGTTGACTCAGATTTGTTGTTTTGCTCTCGTGCTTTCTATGTCTTGCTCAGAAAGGTACAAACACAAAGGTGCTGTTGCTACAATTGAGCTTTTGGCCTTCATAGAACATATTTAATTTGCTATAGTAGGTCGCCCTGCTGCCCACATAGATTTATCTGCACAGTTGTCCAAGAATCCCCTTATTGAAGTCTAGTCTCCACATAGCTGGCCTTCACCTTACCTCCCAGGAGGCAATATCAGTGTTTGCAGTAGCTGAACCTAATACACCCAGCACATGAACTCTGCCCTGTCAAGTATTTCCAGAGGAAATTACTGGCTCCGGTCTTGTGCTCTCTACCCCCAAGTGCGCATTTTATTGAGTGTGAAGGTTCATGTGTCACAACCTCGGATGCACACGGTGGAGCCAAGACATTGACCTGGCCCTGACCTTTTGTTTTTGAGCTGTAAACATCTGTTGTTGATATCCAAGTCAAAGGGAAAGACAATAAAGATAGTCAAAGGGAAGGAAAAGATTGAACAATAAATCCTGTTTAAGTTTATAAAGAACCAGTGCTTGTTTAACTTAATGCAGAATTTGACTGTTGCACAAAGCTAACTGTGGACTAGAATGAGCCATCTATTAATCTTATCCTATGTTCCAATTTTGTTAGTTTTCTTTTAAACATTTCTCACACTGTACTCTGCAAGCCATTCAGTCCGAACTCAAAAGGTGTCATGGACTGGCCAATTTCCCTGCTCATTATCTCCATCCCTGTCTAGATTGATCATAAAACATATTTTAAAACATTTTAACATTCTATTGACTGTTCCTCAGTAGTTCCAATGAGCTGGTTTCCTTCAGGGGAATGCCTTGTTATTTATTGATTCAAATATCCTTGGTTCTCAAATGGTTTCAACTTCTCTGACATTTACTCTTGTGCCACCATAAGGTTTTGTCTGAAAGTCTTGACAACTATGACATTAACTGAACCTACCTTCTCTTGTGTATTGCCACTATCAGGTCTTCATTTTAATTTGAACAATACCTTATAGATTATAAAATAGATTTTACCTGCAAAACTAATGTCATTTCTCTCAGCCTCAGCCGTGCTTTGTGTTTAGTTCCAATTAACCAACGTTAGCATGCTAACTTGGTAAACACTAGCATCAGTATGTTAGCATTGTCAATGTTATTATGATAATGTAAGCACGATGACGTAAGCATTTAACTTAAAGCACAGCTGTTCCTGCCTCATTGAGTCGCTAGCATGGCCGTAGACTCTTAGCCGTGTTAATGTCGATATTTCGATTTGGGTGCAAAATGTATTAAAAATACATTTTGTTTGTTCTATTTTCAAGGGTCCTAAAGGTTATCTTGGGCTTGCCGGACTGCAAGGAGTACAGGTAGGTGATAATCTGTGTGTGTGTTGCGCTGATTGTATATGTGCCAAACAACAAAGCCTTAAATGTGATGACACCATCTGAGATACAGACCCAGCATTCGTACATACAAATAACTTTCATACACAAATACAGAAAGATGAGTCCATATACATATGGGATGTATGAAATATGCATATATACATTTTGTATGTGTATGTGGTTCTCTGTTTATCCCACTCTCTTTCACCTCATCAAAAGACTTACAATTATTAAGCCTCATTACACGGACTCTTTGCATACAGATTTTGGAATAACCACAAAAATGTGGCACAGTTTAGATTATACCTCATTGAAGACTCGAGGTTCCAAATTATGTTTTGGTTTGAGAATTCTGAATCTAAATCCAAGCAACTGGTCATAAGTCATATCAAGCAATCATCAAACATATTATAAAAAAACCTGCACACATTATGATCCTGTCAGACAATAATGGTGAATGTCTGCAAAATATAAAGATTGTTTCTTCAGTAAGTGCTGATTCCACTTTTTCAATGTCTGTGATTCATGCAGTCACAGATAACAATAGTTATTACAGCAATTCATGAATGTTGAAATTGAGCATCAGGTGAATGTTTGAATGCAAAGTGTCACATTAACAGTGGACTAAAAAAGTGAGCAAGTGGGGGAGGGGTGGGTTTGAGGGGTGCAGAAAGGTACAGTTAATAGACATCGTTTGTCTCATGAGGCCGTCCGATGAACATGCTTGTTTTATTCTCACTGGCAATGCTTGTAGCGGTACTTCAATGTTGTTTACGGTATCGAGCGAATCGGGAGGACAACGAATAAGAGAACAGGCAATGAAGGAGGAAGGAGAGAGAGAGAGAGACAGAGAGGATGAGCTAGAGAGATAAGAGAGAGAGAGAGAAGATAGAGCTACATAGAGAGAGAGAGAGAGCGAGATCTGATACTTCTAGATATCTCGCTATCTATGCATATCCTATCTCTTCTCTCTCTCTCTCTCTCTCTCTCTCTCTCTCTCTCTCTCTCTCTCTCTCTCTCTGCTGCAGGGCATACCGGGACCTCCTGGGGAAGCCGGGGCTGCAGGTTACCCTGGCAGGCAGGTGCAGTGAAAAATACAAAAATATGCTTCCAGTTCGTCCATTGACCCTCTTAGATTCTTGTTACTCTACAAAGAACTATACAGAAAAAACACAGAAAGGATAATAATAACTACACAATGTACACTTCTATCTGCTTTCCTGTTCACATTTCTTCCCCATTTTGGATTCTGAACTAAGCAGTAAACACCTGCTATTTTTCTCACTAAAGTACATGGAATACATAGTTAACATTGAGATGCATACATTAATGCAATATGCAATATAAGCTGATGTATTTGTATGTGTTTAAACTGTTGGCCTAAACCTTGTGAAACTGCCAGCAGTGTGCTAGAGGAAATACAAGTGCAACTTAAAGTATAACACATTTGTTTTCTTTTAGCTCTCAGTCAGCTGAGCTCGTTCTATTTTTCTTATCAGGCCATTCAAAGTCTCATGTGAAATGACTCTTTTTTTTGTTGTGCATACTGTGACAAAAGGTCCACCTTACCTGAGTCTTTCCCTTTTGCAGGGTGCAGCTGGGCCACAAGGTGACCCAGGGCCTAAAGGTGTCCGTGTAAGTACAAGTGGTTCTCTGCTGTCCTTCTACTTTCTTTTCTTCAGCAGCGCTGAATTAGACATCTAATTTCCTGAAAGGATTAGGAAACTGTCAGACCCACAGCCTTGCTCCAGAGAGAGCGCTGAGTTGTATTCCTGACATGCTGTCTAATGTGAGACGGCTTGTGGGGGCTGGTCCGGGCTCTAGATTGTCTCGGTTAAGGCTGACTGGTTTGTCTTCATTTGGTTCATGCAAGAAGGCCTCAAAAACAGGAGAACAGAAGGAAAATAATCTGAAAAGAACATACAGGAAAATATGAAAGCAGACAGAATGAGGTGGTGAGTGATGGGACTGGGAGCATTGCAGCCCAGAGAAAGAGAATAGCTCAGATTAGTATGACAGTGTGAGGCAGGCAGCGTGAAAAATAGCCACAACGACAGACAATGCTCTGATAAGATGTGAGTTATGGTGTGTGTGTGATAGAAGAAAAGGAGACAAAATGAATACTTCTTATGCCATCTGACATACATATCTGGAATGCAGCCAAGGTATTGCCTTTAAGAAAATACATCTCAGTCATCATGTCCAGAATAACAGAGCAGATAGTGTATATCAGGGTTTTCATAAAGAAATTGATGATGGGTTGTCATGCACATGCACAAGACAAGGATTTGCGCCTGCCAGTGATGTGATACACATTCCCGCCAACGCCACATATCAACGGGTGGCGGTGAGCAAAAGCAGGGAGAAGAGACTGCTAGCAAGCAAACCCAAATCTAAACAATGCTCATCTTTAAGATAGCCAGACAACCAGAGTATTGTACGAGCGCCTGGGTTTCAGAGCGGCGACAAGACAGGATCAGTTGAGTGTCATCAGTGTAGCCGAGGAGAAGCCATGAGAGCAAATGAGAGAGCTTATGAATGATGGTGTTGGTCTTCCATTGGTCCTGTATACAAGCCATATACACTGTTTATGTTAAACTGAATAGAAGTATTGTGGTGAGATTAATTTATTGAGATACTGTAACACTGCAGACATATTTTCAGACGATCCTGTGATTTAACATATTGCTGTTTTCCTAGGGTTTCATTGGGCCTCCTGGCGTTGCTGGGCCACTCGGACCAGAGGGGGAGAAAGTGAGTGATGTTTGTTGAAGTCACAATTGCTGTGTATGTACTGTACTATGTAGTCCTGTATGTGTGAAAATTAATATTTATAAACTCTAGTTTCCTCTTATTCATTTCTTCCCACTGTTTTGGACACGCCGTTTTCTCCTGTTTTTGTCGGATAGTTAGTACTTCCTTACTGAGGTTTGATTAAGTAGATTATATATATTTCTTTCTTTTAGCACTTTGCCCTTATCAACTTTTAGCAGTCAGCTATGTTCTAATATCTTTATTCATGTTGAACTACTTATAAATAAATGCCAGAACATTGTTTTACAAAGTAATGTTTCAGTCCAAGAAACCCAAATACACACTACGAAGTAAAAAATGTTTTCTTGGTGACTGTTATTTAAAAGCTGTAAATTTACGGCTTTAAAATTATTGGGTTTCAGGAAAGAATTTGAGGTAAATGTATATTATCCGTCCAGGTTAAATGCCTGAATGAAGTCACTCATTCCATTATTGTTTTGAGATTCTACTCTTAAGGGAATCCTGGTCTTTATCGCTCTGTTGTGGCTTTCTGCACATCAGCTTGGTCTGTGCCAAGAGAAATATTATTTCAATGTGATGTAACCATTTTTTAAACCTGGCTCAAAGTAGGCCATGTTACTCAAAAAATGTCTCTGTAACATTGGAAAGGGGGTGGGGGGGGAGTTCTCCATAAATTGACTAAAAGGTGTTGGGGTTTAATGATCCCAGATTTAAGTCACTAACCCAGCTGTTTTTTCTTTTCTAGGGCATTCCTGGTCCTGTTGGAAAACCTGGTTCAAAAGGAAGACATGTAATGATTAATTTAATTAAGATTCTTACCATAGCTTATGGTTGCTTCCAGACGCAAAAATGTATCTTTCATGCTGCAGGCATGCTTTTCTGTGTTATCTCATATTGTAAAAATCCATTTAATACACAGTATCTTTGAAATCAACAATCACATCGACAGGGACTTTTTAAATAATTTGTATGCTGTATCTGTTGTGAATGTGCCTTAGCAGCAGGACTCTGAATGCCACTGTTTAACCCTCCTATTGTCTTCGTGTTCCCCCCCTTACTTTGGTGTTTGCGGTCAAATTTGAGCAGTCCTGTTTAAACTGCTATTACATTAACACAAAAACCATTAATCATCACCAAATTTCATTTAACACCCTTTCAAACTGTAAATATTGTATCAGACTACTGGTATACATGAAAAACTGCAGTAAATATACAAAGAATAGACACTGAACATGTATTGCGTGTGCCAGGTGTGATCCATGTGGGGGGATGGGCACATAAGAGCGGCAAATGTATCAAATTGTTCTGTGTGTGTTTGTGTGTGCCAGGTGTGATTCACATGGGGGGATGGGCACATAATGGGGGGGGGGGGGGGGGGGTCACATCTAGAGTATGTGTGTGTGTGTGTTTGTGTGTGTGTTTTATCTGATCCGGATGGTTACTAATTCCTTTTCTTTATGGTGGTCATTTTTGACCGGGAACACCATGGGTGTTACAAAGTTGACTAAATCATCCAAAATTCAATGAAAGTGGTGATCAGCAATTGTATATGTTCAAATGTCTACTGTGAAGGATATCATAAAGCCTTAATGCAATCGAATGTAAAACAAAAAAGTTATGATTGATGAAAGTAGTAAATCGGTCAGATTTGACCCAAAGACAACAGGAGGGTTAAACAGTACAAAGAGAAAGAAAATATGAGAAGAATAATTACTTTAGCGGATTTAACAAGTTGTGGCAAATCACATTATAGTTGTTTTATGAAATCGCATTTGGCATAGTCCATGTAATGCCAAGTTTGTAGCTGGGCTGCATTGAGTAAAACTACGGATCAAGATATAAAGGAACGGAATGTCAAGGTTGAGCCCTCACACTGTGAAAACGTAATGTTCTAAAAACAAGCCTTAGCGTCTCTGTTGAAGTTGCCAAGCCGGCATTCAGCCCAATGTTTGTTTCATCCGGCTAAATGGATCAAAGCCACAAGCACACCAAACAAACTGCCATGTCTTTCATTATCTGAGCATTATCTTTACACCATGCTAATGTGTTTCTGATCAACCATTTGGGGAAATAGCATGTTAAGTGCTATGTATAATAGATGTCATGCATAACAGAAAACATAGATTTTAAGTGACAGGAGGGAAGTAGGAAAAGCTTATTAACTCCTGTACCTTCACCTGTATGGAAGCTGATATACTGAGTGATAAGTGATTATTGGCAGTGGTTGCCCTGACCCTCTTAAATTGAGTGTGGATATACTTCCTCCACAGGGTGTGGTTGGCGATGCGGGGGAGAGGGGGCCTCCTGGTCCTGATGGCAATGAGGTGAGAACTCTTGTCCACATCTCTTTTTCTACCTTACCCTTTTCATCTTCCTCTGCCTGTGATTTGCCTTTCTGTCCTCCATTGATATAGTCACAGAAGATAGTCTATTAATGACTAACCTTATCACTGTCCGTTTTGGAGCCTGGTGGAGGAAATCACTGGTTAATTATACAAATTACTGAGCAGCTTTGATTCATGGATTGTTGGGTTCAGACATAGAAATGTTAAGATGCTTTCTCATTTCAGGTGTTTGCACATGAAAACATTAAATTATACCTATAGCATTTCCAATGTAGCCTTGGAAATGAGGAATGTGCAATACTGTAAGTGTCCTGTCCTGTGTACTTAGGATGTTGCTGTGATGTTTCACAGGGGCCTGTTGGTGGGATTGGCATTAGCGGCTTTCCTGGTCTGAGGGTGAGTATCAGTTTTGCAATCTTATAATTTTTATTTACGTGTTACATTTCCCACAGCTAATAGGCAATATGTCATTTCCCTGCCTCACAGTTCCATTTGTTTCTACTGCCTGAGTGTCCATCTTTTGTCCTACTTGTCTGTCTGTAGAGTTTAAATTTGAGTTTGGATGATGGATGTATGGCAGGATGTGCTGTGTTTCTCCATAAGTAATTAATGTGAATTTTGATGCTGCCCTCTGACCTGCTGTACAGTGGTGATCGTTTGTCCTGCATGTCAAGTAATGGAGATGTCCTTTACTTTGACCACCATTTTTCATGGTTGGGTCCAGTGAAGGTACCCTAAACATATACACATTTGAGGGTCCATATCAAATGACAATAACAACATTTGTCTTGGGAGGCATTGTGTTATTATGGCAGTCGGACAACATCTAACCAGGACTAATAGAGAACATGCTCTCTTTCACTGCAGAATGTGCAGTTGCTGAATAGTCTGTGATCACAGACCCCTCTTAATCGTCCCCCTGTCATACAAATAGATACAACTGTATACAGTACCTTTCCTGCGCCTTCATTTCAAGCTTCATTTACACTGGCTTGCTGTCCCCATAGCATGGGGATTTATTGGTGTGCTGGAAGGGTACCTCTGTGTGTGCTAGACACATCTGGATGGATGGGGTTTCCTAAACCTTCCCTTAAGCTACTGGTTGTACGTCATCAATTAGTGAAGACACAGTCAGACATGAAACATGCACACACCATCTTTATTTTTGTTTTTACAAAAACATGGATATCATCACAATAAACCTTTAACTTGTAGAGCAATCACAATATATAGAATCACAAGTCTAAAGTAAATGTACACATTTTTCACTATTCACATCATAGATCACTTTATATGGTGTGTGATGTGTTCATATTTGCACACATGCATGTACACACACTTATTTAATGATAACAAAAGAAAATACTGTGCAGAAATTCTTCCTGTGTTCTGCAAAATGAACATCTGAGATGGTGGGCTGGCTGATTTAAAGCCTGCCTTGGAATGTCAATCTTTTTTACCAAAATAATTGTCATATGATTAGAGCCCATGTTGAGAGAGTGGACATTTGTGGTAGAATTCTTTGCTAATAGCATTAGTATATTCGTGCTCACACTTTCTTGTACAACACTCGTTCTCCGAGTCATGTTCTTTCCATTTCTTTATTTTAAATGGATATGAATAGATTTTGTGGAAGAAATCTAAACACAATCAAGCATTGATACAAATATACAGTTAATGATGGCCTCATGATTTTTATGCAGTGCAATAATATGTATTATGGAAATGGCCAATCTTGTGAAAAGCAAAAACAGCCCCCAAAACAAAACTATTAGTATCAGTAAAATGCATTAATATATCATATTATGTTAAATATAATATCATCATTGCCTGTAAGTCCTTTTAAGTAATCAAACAAGTGAGCCAACATACTTACACCTCCTTAATCCTGTCCTTTGTGTAATTCATATTTACTCTACGGCTGAGTAATTTTGACACAGATTATAGAGCTTTTATTTGATATTTAACACTCATTTTCACTTTCACTGTCAATCAAACCCTTGTCGTGGCTCCAGATGTATGGAAAGGCAATTACACAAAGTTGTAGCTTTCTTCACGTAATCAGAGAGCAGCGCAGAGAGTTGGTTCTGGTTTGCAATTGATGTGTTTCCCAGTGTGTGACTCAAGAACATTTGATGCAGCCAGACACTCATTGTTTGTTTGTAGCCTTTATTTAACCAGGTGAAAAAATTAACAGTCTGAGTGTAAATCAAAAGTGTTGTAGAGAAAAAATAAATAGTTGTTGTTACGAGTGTGTACTGTTAATACACAACCACTCTAACCTCAACCAGTTTCATCATATTTACGATAAAATAAGGCCTGTGTGTATAGTTATATACACGTATACATGTTGTCGAGTTAATGATACATTTTATGCTTAAGAGTTTTATTTGATTAGCTTTTCTGAGGTTACAGAGTGTGTTACAGGAATGCTACAATCTGTTTTTTGTCAGGACTTTAATCACTTGTCTCCAGTGTGGCTGGTTGAGATAATGGTTTGAATGATGATCCCTAACTGCCCGCCTGTCAGGCAGCATCCTGACAGCAGAGTGGGATGTACATGTACCAGATCCCTACTACTTTTTTAAAGGAAGTAATTTTTTTCTTGATGCATTTTCACCTTACAGCACGTCATGGTTCATGTGCTCTCTGTAGAAAGCCTCTTTTGTGACTGGCACATGTGATTTGTGTATGTCCTGCACATGTCCTGGATGACAAGCCATGTGCTTTCACTCACACACCTCTAGCTACAACATTTTTGCATATTGCCAAGCTGAATGATTGCGAGTTTGGAAAGAGAATAGTGCAGTAGTAAAATGAGTAGTCTAAGAGTTTTATGCTATTCCCCAGTGTATTGGTTAGGGCAGATAATATCTTCTCCTGACTGTCTTGGAGTAAATTGCAACGTCTCTCCAGCTTTACTCCCTTCTCCAACAAAGGAATCCATGCCTATATACCAATGTGCAAAAGTTGTATTGACTTAATTGTGTTTGTGTCTGACAACAATATAATAGCTGCTGGAATGGTATAAACATTCACCAACTGCATGCTTGCTTGAAAAGGGTGTATTCTTGCTGTCCAGACACACATTCTGGCGATTCTCCAATATTGGGGGCTGGCAGTGTTGAGCACGGCTAAGCCCAGGCCCATACAAATCAACTGGATGCACTGTCAACACAGCTTAGTTTTGTTGTTGGGATGTGACAGGAAGGCTCTGGGTTGGATTGTGTCAAAATAACATCACTGCCAAGAAGAAATTGTAAACATTCAGTGTGAAAAAATCCATTGAGTGTCGGGCAACAACCAGGCCAGTATCAGAAAATTGTGTGGGTGTCTGTGTGTTATTGATACATGAATTCCATTGTGTACCTCCTTCCCTCTACAGGGGGACGCAGGGCCTGAGGGACTGCAAGGCCTGCCTGGTCTGATGGGACCTCAGGTAAGTTAGACATTTGCGCCTGCAAATGCTCTAAATTATAGAAAAATACTTTACAGTGCAGTCAAATTAAACCATTTTAATCTGTCCAAAATGTACTGTAATTCTCTTCACCTCATATATGTAGTAACATCATATATGCATTTTCTGGTCTAGTCTGATTAGGATTCCTTACAAAAATGTTCCCCTCTCCTCTCTGTCTCTCTAATTCTTCTACCCTCCTCTCACTGTGGCAGGGCCCACCAGGACGACAGGGCCTGCCTGGATTGAAAGGTGATAAGGTGATTTAAATATTTATATTATTGCAGTGTTTCTGTGTCTATAGACAAGCTCACATAATGATACATATTACAAGTGTTTTTTATAATGTTATTAGCATTATACACTACGGTTAATACATTTATTTATATCTGATCTACAGTCGTATTGTGATCACTGTGACAGGGCAGTGTTATATCTCTGTATGATACTGTGAAATTTAGGCTGGAGTGGGACATATGGGCGAACCAGGAGAGATGGGGATCCAAGGTGACAAGGTACTTCTCTCCTCACACAAGCAAGATTTTAAGTAAAACACAGATGAACACCATCTGAAACGTATTGCAATTCATAGACAGATCATCAGACATTTGTTATATGTACACGCACGCACACGCACACACACACACACGTCTTGGCATCTAAGCATGCACTCAGTTATATGAAAATGGATAGGTAACACATCAAATGACACACACAGATGTTGTGTAAGACCAGTTTGAGTTTAAAGTGTTATGTCTGATTCTTTCAGGGGGGTGCTGGTGTACCTGGTCCTGCTGGGCCGAAGGGGAAACCAGGACCACCGGTATGTTCGTGTGAGTGTGATATGTGTCTGTACAGCCAAGGGCACATGTGTAGACATTACTGAAAGTGTGTTTATTTGTGCATTTAATGCATGTTTGTATATTTGTGTGTGCATGCATACCAAGCTTTACAGATTGTATACAACTTTTATAGATAAACCTAAGTAAACAGTAGGCTTCTGTGGCTATGAGGTTAAATCCCACCCTGAACAACATGTTGATGTGTCCTTGGGCAAGACAATCCATACAATTGCTTCTGATGGCATGGCAAATGGCGTGTGAATGTTTGTCAACGGTCAGACTCCTTGAGCCGGGGGGCACCTTGCATGGCAGCCCCTGCATCTGGATGAATGTGTGTATGGGTGAATGAATGCTGTATATATGAAAGTGCTTTGAAGAGTTGTAAAGTCTGAAAAAGCGCTTTATAAATTAACTCCAATTAACAATGTACTACAAAGACATTCAGAATTTGTTTACAAGTTGTTAGCTTGTCAGTTCAGTCATCTTGGCTCAACACTTTAGCTTTATTGTACACTTAAGAAAATTAAGTGAAAATTATTAGTTGGGTTATTTTCATGCTGTGTAAGGCATTGAGAGGGGACCCGTGTTAACTATTACAACAGCGAACAGCATGCTGGATACAGCTTACTCTCTATCAGTGTTTCTGGAGCTTGAGCATTTCTACTATATCAGAGCAGGTGTATTGCTCTGGAGCCAGGCACTGTCCAGTGTTGAGTGGTTAGGATGAGCGAGAAATCTGCATGAAGCCATCAAGCGGGTAGAAAACGTACTAGTTCTAAACAAGTCCATATGCTCTCCTGTTCCAGAGCACCTGATTTAGTTTATATGCAGCATCAGATGCAGTCTACTCATAAATCAGAATAAGAACAATGTTTAAAGGGTGTAATTTTATAAGAAAAATGTGTGTACCTCCATGAAGTGTAAAAGTTTATCCAAACTCAGTTTTCAATATTGTTTTGTCGAACTGATTGGTTTGCTTTTGAATTTAAGTAATCCCCCCCCAAATAAATAAATAAAACGCTGTTTACTGTGTCTTTTCAAACGTACAGTAGCTGCACAACCTGCTCATACAAAGTAGAAAAAGCAAGCATTACTCACTATGAAGTGAGAGAGGGAGAGCACCATTTAGCGTTAGGGGTTAAGGGTTAAGTGTTTAATGACTGGACAGAGTGACCAGAGTTTAGCCTTGTGTCCATGCTGCATCATGTTGTGACTGATCACTACTAAGTGTGTTCTTTGCTTTCACATTCAGATCACGATAAAGAAATATAACTAAAGTATGTTACCTAAATTGTGACAGAGTGAACACAATATAATAATGGTGTGTTTTCTGTACTTCAAAAGGGTAAACTTGGTGATATGGGGACACAAGGACAAGCTGGGCCCCCAGGACCAGAGGTAGGACACACTTATCAAAACTAATTATTCAATTTTTGATCAGTATTTTTTACATCAAACTTATGATGGTTCCAGGTTCTCATATGTGATGAATGTCTTTATTCTGTCTGTCATTATAGTACATTTATTCTCTTAGAAGACATTTGATGACATCACCTTATACTTGATATTGTGATAACATTAATATATTTTTTTCAGTTTTATCAGCAGAATAATTGATTAAAGCTCCCATGTCATGCTTTTCCGGTTATTACCCGTCCCCTTGTGTGTTATGAAGGTTTTTATGCATGTAAACGGTGTGCAGAGTCAAAACCCTCAAAGTACACCCTGTAGCGAGTAAAACTCTAACACAGAAAATACCTCCCCAAAACGCCTCGTTGGAGATACGTCACTGCCCATTTGATTCTTCCGGGTACCGCCTGATGTCATGCGGTACCCGGAACGAAATGGACCAATCCCGAAGAGCCGTTACGTTACGTCCGCGGAGCCGTTACGTTAAGCCCCCGCTGATTGGTCCAAATTGACCGATCCACGGACTTCCTCACACACACATCTGTGTGCAGGGAGCAGGCAGCTCAGCTGATTTCTCCTCCCTGGCTGCAGGCTGATAACAGACAGTTGGGATCGCGGCAAAATTCTCTCTGCAGACCCATTCTCACAGCGTTTATCAACCTTTTTCTTACTCAATATCAAGCCACACTTATTGTTTTTACTTCGGCTGTGAGTTTGTGTGTGCTCAGGATGAGTTTGGCTGTGTTTCGCTATGTATCCTAAACAAGGAAACAACACCTCCACGGAGCTCAGCGCGATTCACAATGTCCCGACCAATCAGAGCACACTGTGCTCACAGGGAGGGTGGGGGCTGGAGCTTTTGGAGCTACAACTAGCCGTTAAAGGCAAATAGTGAAATTCAGTGAATACAAGTAGTTTACAGAGATGCTGTATGAGAAACCAATGTGAGTTTGGAAAAATGCACAGTATAAATCTATTTTAGTATACCTCAACAATGGAATTATGATCAGTGGAAATGGCCATGACACCTCTCCTTTAATGATTTATTGATAAATGTAATCAACAAAAAATTAATTGTATTAGTGCCTCCATTATACGTATTTGTTTACAAAAAAAAATGTAAAATAATCTTTAATGAGCTCATTAATGCCCCTCCCCCAAGATGGTGAACATTGAAGCCTTCCTAAAGCACTACCATCAGCAGGGGCGGACTGGCCATCGGGACGTTCGGGACGAATCCCGGTATTTACTTGCCGCTCGGATAACTCACTAGACTAGCACCCCCCCCCCCCCCCCCCCCAGTTGATAATATACCGAGGCGGGCCGGCAGTACCGAAGTGGGCCGGTCGAGAGTCCGGGGTGATTTGTAGTCCCAGTCCGCCCCTGACCATCAGATTACATTTTTTACTTTTTACCAAACATGTACAGTAAATAAAAGGTTATGTTTGGAGCTTTAGTGCGGGACTTTTAAACGTCAATTAACTTCCGTTACACTAAAGCGTTGCCAAATCACACCAATGCGTATCAAAGACCAATGCCGTCATGACTAGCTCTCTATTTTTCAGTATACAGTTGTGGTGTCTATTTACTGTGGCGACTTTCCTACGCTGGCGCAACAGCGCTGCGTGTTATGTCAACCAGACAGGGCTGAATGGTTTGAAGATAGAGTGTAGCGGAAGCTGAGGTGTGGATTTTTAGTAGAAAAAACAAACTATAGGCCTCCTGCTGGTGAGTTGCAGCAAGTTCTCGCAGGCATACGTCTTAAGAACGCTTCAACAACGTTAGTGATTTGCTCTCTCTGCCAGAGGGGGGAGACAAAAGTTGTACACTCCAGTTATAATACTGTATTTTGTTGTGGTTATTCGTGAACACCATTTGCAACAGATAGTGACTCGATGACATTTCCTCTTTTGCCAGCTCTGGGTCAAAATGTATTCTTAACATCTCAAAATCTAAATAACAAAATAATAAAGAACTTAACACAACTCGCGAGAGAATTTAGCCTTTTTTGGGTATACTAAAGTGTTTCATAATGATAATCTAATACAATTCAAATTTAATTTAGTCTCACTAGCCCTAAAACCTACTGACGTCCATGTGTTGCACCAAAACGACACTAACCTTTTGTCCCTTGCTTTCCCTGTTCTGGCATCTCCCTCCAGCATGCCTGTGCTTTGGTTGTAGAAACTTAACCTTTTTTCAAATAGGTCATTGTTGATGCTTTCAAGTATGTGAAAAGCATGGAAAATGTCATAAGACACGCTGCCGTCAAACATGCAACACCACAATAGGTCACAAAGGCCACATCTTGCGTATCTTTCTGAAATGATTGATTATGTAATGGCAGGCATGCCTGAAGGTATTCCGCTTCTATCAACTCCGTCGCGATCCATCACTATCTTCACATCAGTTTTAAGCCGGCCTACACACACTAGCGAAGAACCCACCCAAATATCTGTGTGATACAGTTTTATGCAAGATGCCTTCAGATATTTGCAAAAAGGAGCTGCTGCAGTACATCAACATACTAATACACCTACTTTATACCTGACAGTTTAATTCAGATTGGTCTTACCCATCCTTTATGTACACAGAGATTCAATGAATATATTGGATTTGTGGATGGTATCAAACACAACCAATTAGTCATGTGACTCATAACGGGGAAAATAATAAAAACACAAGATAATACTTTAATCTCCTGATTTTGCAAGGGATTTCCCGGGGACATTGGATTACCGGGGCCTAACGGACCACCGGGACCGAAGGTACAACAACATCTCACTCTGACTGTTTATTGATTCATTTATTTTGTTATTCCGTTAACATTCATGCATCTGGCTGTGTTTCAGGGTTTGCAAGGTGCCAGAGGACCCCTAGGCCCACAAGGTCCACAAGGAACGCAGGTGAGACAATTCAACACCCAACTTATTTCCACACATCTGCTCGTTTCTTTAATCTCTATTATGGAAAGTAGAAATATGACACATCAAGGGAGTTCCATTAGATCATTAGTCTGAGGCAAGTTTAACCAACACAGCGCTTCTCATTTACCATCTAGTCATATCTCAAACGGTGGCAGCCTAGATCCTTGTGGGAGTGTTCCACTTTGCCATATCTCTCGGGGCATGTTCCACTGGGTGAAGTCATTATTCATCAATTGGTGCTAAGAAAAACAAAGCTTAAAGTTTTCCAGCAATGGAAAAAAGCGTTGTGCGTTGACCGCATTTTGGAAGGCGTACAACGGACACTTTTCAAATGTGCTGAACGTTACAGCATTTATCTGGCAACTGTTCACAGAGGTGTAATTGGCCAGTGTGTTCTACTCCTCTCACACACACTTTCCAGGTATGATCTCACAACAACTCAGTCATAGAAAACAGAGACCAAAACTGTTTGATTCCTGACAGAATAGACACAGAAAGTATTTTTGTAGATCTATTCAAGCTACTTGAGTCCAAAGACAAAATTGGATTACACTTATCTGTACAGAGGCTAGGGGAGGACAGTGAGGGAGGAAGTAGACCTTTAATATTGAGAGTTGACAGTCATGCTAATGGAATGCTATACTGTGGATGCATTTCATCACATGTTGACTCTTGTGTATATGTGAGCATGTGTTTGTGTATGTGTTTATGTTTGCAAATATTTGTGTATGATGAACAACACTGTGATCTGCAGGGTGATGAAGGACCACTCGGCCCACCTGGCAGCGCGGGCACTACTGTAAGAACTTCTAGACATGCATACTTTGTATCTACACACATACAAACAAAAAGACAACATACACACAAATTGAGCGTTTCGGGGGGGTTTAAATAAAACAATTCACTTAGATGTTCTGTCTGGGAGCAGCTTGGATGAGATGTGATGGATATATATCTTTTGATCATTACGTTTGTGTTTGATTTTTTTGTGTGTGTCTCTGCCTGTGTTTATAGGGAAGACCTGGAAGGAAAGGCTTCATAGGCGAACCTGGCCCAGACGGTTTAGAAGTGAGTCTAAATCTGTATAAGTATATCTGAATGCCACCATCTGTAGAACATTGACAGTCGTATGGCTTGCACTCTCAGTTTTGATTATAATAACTATCAGTTTATTCACAGTTTTCTTTTACCTAAGAAAACCCCAGCATTCCAGACTCAATCCTCGCCCTATTTTATTGCATGTAATTTGCTTTGGAACAAACCACAAATGCAGTGCAAAGATCATTATATCTTGTGTTTCAAGATTTTATTACTGAAAATGTCTGAATGTCTCCATGTTTGTGACCCATTTATTGCCTATACTTACTGTGTTGTAAACATGCTCTTAATTAAGCCAGAAAATGATTTATTATGTGTGTGTGTGTGTGTGTGTGTGTGTGTGTGTGTGTGCAATGTGAGTGCTGTATTTCTTTGATCTCTTTGATCACAGGAAGCTAACCAGCACACTGTTTAATGTTTTCTGATTGCAGGGAGAAAAAGGGGACATTGGAAATGTTGGAAAAATCGGACCACAAGTGAGTTGCTTCCACAGTAGTAACATTCAGGACATTAATTAACAGCCACCCTGCTGTTAAGCTTCATATTAAATCCCTCTTTAAGATAGTTATTGTGGAGTCTGTGATGTAGCTTGTAACAGCTTTAGTTCCTGTACCTAAAGGTTTTAATGGTTTTCCTCCAGATTAACGTACATCTTACACTGAGATGATGAAGCAATGCCTCCATAGTTAATTGAAATAAAATCTTCAGTGTGGCAACTGTTGAGGAAGTTGCAGGGTAATCCTTTGATGACTTGGTGTTTTTGTAACCCACTGTTGATGTTGAGAGAAGTTTGAATCTTCTCCATCCACCGAATAGTGTTTTCATAATGGAATTAGCAGAACACCACAGTAGAACAGAAAGAACGGCAATCAGAGCTCGTCAGCTAAAGTCACCTCATTTGGGTTTTGAAGCGTGGGTTTGATGTCTGATGTTGCCCAAGAATCATATTGGTGGTGCATGATGTCCACATAATAACTTCAGTAGAAAACATTGTCAACACATGTTGTTCTTGTCCAACAAGTGGCTTTGCATGTCTCCCAAAACATCTGTTAGGATTGTGCCTAAATGTACCAATTAGCAGCTGAGTCACAGTTTCATGTCTGTCTTTCTGTTTCACGCTTCATTTCATGCTTTATACCCAGCACAAATACTCTAGAGAATTGTTGGGACATGTTTCCGCTTTGCTAACGCACACAACTGTTCGGAACATCCAAAGTATGTCCGTCCTTCCCGGAGGCCCCTTAATGTTAATATTTGCATTCTGTGCATAGTGGAGGCAACCAAGCGGGCCGTGTTCCACTGTGTTGCTGGAGTGCACATATGAGAGGGATTAAGCACTTACTCAGTAGAGGGGCCTTTGAAGCCAAGAAGGAGCCATGGGGCTATGCAGAGAAAAAAAACCCCTCTAAAACATATGGAGGCTGTAATGGATGTCATTACATCACTTTCCAAATACATTTGATGTGTAAGAAACTGAGATCGACGGTTGTTCACTAGCGCAGGTTAACCAGGGGTCGAAGCAGCGAGGCCGCAGGTCGCCTGTCTTCATCGAGTTCCCCTGTATCACCAGGGGGCCCCCCCCCATAAACCTTTTCAAGTGAGATTTTATTGGAGGTTTTTATAGTTTTAGTCAATTTAAATTGACTGCTGAGTGTTCCATTTTGAAGTCACACTCCAGTCCACAGTGAATAAAACATGGATCAGTCATCAATTACCAAAGCCAGCCACAGGTGTGCTTTGATATATAGTTCACATGTCAACCTCTGTGCTTTTGGCTTTCAGTGACTCAGTGTGTACTCACATGTGTGAACTAAAAAAAGAGGCATTTGTGAGGGAGAACCTTAATACTTTCAACATTAAGTGACGTGGGCTGTATTTCTTCTCTTACCTTAAGGATAATGGGTATACCAGTACTTTAGTAACTCTACCTGTGTCAGAGGAAACAGAGTACCTTCAAACAGTACTGTTAAAGCTCCCACGATCATGTCTCATGGAAACCCCTTTAAAACCATTTCCATCTGTAAAAGGACACAGGGTACCACATTGTACCACTTTGTGTTCTAATTAAGAGATTTGAGGTAGATTTAGAGCTCCTGTTCCCAGGCCTGCAGGCTGCATCCCCTCACAGACACTCTGCTACTTATCCGTAGCTCAAATGCTTTACTTGCATCCAACAGGATAATACCATTTGGTGATGATACATGACTAACACTTTGAGCTATGAGCCTTTGTAGCTGAGTAAGGGAGTAGCAAATGGAAGAACAATCTTATTGTGTTTATAACAGTGGTTTGTTTCTTGGCTATCACTTTGTCAATCTGTTATGTTACTCTCAGTCTCTCGCTGTCTCTCTCTTACTATTTCCCTCTTGTTCTCTAGACACAGAGAGATACAGAAAAATGAATAGATGTAAACAACAAGAACATTAACTTTAAAGTTATGTGCCAAAAGTCAGAATAGCACCGATGTACAAACGTATAACCTTTTGACTATGTGGATATACGGTATATCTTTCTGCAACATGAAGCACAGCAATTGGAAGACTTGGACCTCACAACAGGAGAGAGCCGCAGTCTGACGGCGCTGGCTTTCGTGGTTGGCGAGAAGTGAAACCACGCTCTGAAATGGGGCAATCCTATGAATTATTACAGTAACACTATTAATAGGTTCAGATGTTCTTAGTGATTGCCATGTCCCGCTAGCTCAGTGCAAGTGCTGTGGTGCTGTAAAACTTGCACTATTGTGAATTTGGGCCAACTTTTTACATTTGAGTGCATGTTATTAGTATTTGTTTACACTTTGTACTTTAAGCGTAAACAAAAAACGGTTTTCAATCTAAGCAGATAAAACATAATTTAAAGGGACGAGACAGGGTTTTAAAAGTACCATTACACTCTCTGGCTGTTTGTGTATCCAGCCTGCCATTATTCCTGCAGTTGGTATGGAACTCCAGTAGAGAGGCTGGCTCTGGTCCAAACCTCAAAGCCTGTCCCGTACGACTGGTCTGGATTTAGTTACGCTCCTCCGATAACTCTCATTTTTATATTAGCTGAAGTTTTTCCTTTACTCAATAAAGTGTCTTTTTGAGGCCATCTGTATTGAGTTGGTTTGCCATGTAACACTATCATGCCCTAATCCCAATCACTGACATTCTGCCCGAGTCATGTTATTCTTGCTTAATGATGGTTTAGTTCCACACTTCACAAACACTTAAGTAAACATCACGGTTGCAACCTTTTTGTTGCTCTGGTAGTTCATTAATGAATCGTACTTTATTATCCATACCATATTAATTGTAAAAACAGTTTTTGAATAACAGCGGGCCATAATTACTGGCAAATAATGATTGTTTTCTGCTCTTGCTTTATTGTTCTGTCTTATTGTTTATTAGACCATGAATTCACTTTACATCTTGTAAGACGCCTACATTTATAAAAGATTCAAAGTAAAAAAGCATGTATTATATGTAAAAGCCCTTTTTTAGAAGTAGCCCTAATAAAAGTGTATTGTAAATAAATGAAGATTTAGAGTGCAATTTAGTCATGCCTTGCGCTGCAGAGGTCATCCTGCATGACATTGTTATCAGATGATCTCCTTTATTCAGGGTGTCATAACAAATTAGAGAACAACCCTTAGATGAATGAAGATCACATCATCACATTGACATACTTTCTCTTGATGTGTTTGTGTTGAACCCCTGTCCTCTGTTCTCCTCTCCAGGGTCCAATAGGCCTCATTGGGATTGCTGGGGTGATGGGAGTTCCCGGTGAAAAGGTAAGGAGTGTGTTTCTCTGTCATTAGGCTGTCCGTCAGCATCAGCTATTGCTTGTCAGCAGCAGAACCCTGTAATTTAGGCTGTGTTAAGCAGCCATGGCTTGAGGCACCAGAGGGCCCAAAACACATGCTTAGATAAATACTCACACCCGCACATCCACATCAATAACAGTATAGTCAAAGACTTGTCAGCATTACTGCCTCTCATCCCTCAACCCCCAGCTGAAGCAAACAAGGTTAATTTGAGGGAAAATTTCACTTGACGACAAATTGGTCTGTCGCTTTATGTCAGAATATGTCCTGATTGGGGTTGTTAGACACATTTATGTAATCTTCTGTTTATATTCACACAATAATACAAAAGTTGTAAAATAACTCATGATGCATTCTTCATGTTCAGTTTCCGATGCCTCTCAGCTAAAAAAAACATTTTAAAGAGCTTTGCATTTGTTCTGCTCAGTTGAACTTATTTTACTGTCAGTTTGGGTGTTGAATGTTAACCCTGCCCCTCTCTCTATTTCAACCCGTTTCCCTTTCTGTGTGTCAGAACATGTTGTTGTGATGTTGTCTGCTTGTCAGACTCTTGGCTATCCTCCACCCTCTCTTACGCAGAATCCCTACTGTATGAGCACCAGCCGTACCCTGACAGCCCACACATATCTTTTACATTTTTTATGTAGATATTATATAATTCAATACCATATTTTGGTTTAGACTTTTCTTTCCAATACATATTTTGCTCATTCTTTGATAGAAGTCCAACAAGAACTCAGGAAGTGAACTTGTACAGGCATGAGTGTTGCACAGTTTAAGGGGGATTAAAGCATCACTGACACAAGTGTGAGAGGGGTTAGAGCAGAGACCGAGGCAGCTTTACTGCTCACCCCAAGATACCTTTACTTTGAACACACTGTGCCACCAACTGGGTTTTAAAGTACCTTCTCTCTTTCAACTCCGCTCAACCAGCTGTCATATTCTGCATTTGAGATGCTGCTCTCCAGTTTCATGACTCCTTATTAGGTTAGTGCTGTGTTGGGTTTTGTGTGTGTTGAGCTTTCAGGTCATAGTTTAATGATCAGCTCTCTTTCTGTCTTGCTGTTTTTTCCCCCAGGGTGACCGAGGACCAGCGGGCCCAACAGGTCCAGTCGGGGAGAAAGGGCCAAGGGTAAGTAGAGTCCCTCAGGATAAACGGCAGAACTCTGCCTCTTTTCTCAGAATTAGTAAACCCCAGAGACAAATTGTATCCTGTATATTCAAGTACTTATCAGAACTTGAATATATTGTTCAGTAAACGGATGACTGAGGATGAAGAATATACAACTAAATCACTAAGAAAATCTGGTTCGTGAGCTTTGGAAGACTTTTCTTATCTACAAGGTTTATTTCATGGAAATGAAAGCAGACTCTCTTGGCCTAAAAGGATCCAGACTCCTCAATGTTGTAACTTTTTTAGATACTAATCTTTGCAAAATGTAGCTTTGTCAAATTGGTTTTCCCCCAGCGGTAGTGTTGATGGGGTTGAAACAAAACAGCTTTATGTCAGTCAGTGACTAAGGTTTGTAGACCCTGGATTTGGGTCTGTTGAAAGACCTTTTGCTATCCTGTGTCTGGGACTGCTTTTTGCAGTCCTAAACATTTTTGTCAAATCTCTCTTGCTATGATGAGACCTGTGATAGATCTAACTAACTGAACCCGTGTTGTTGGTCTATCAGTTAAAATGGGACTGATAAGGCTCCCAGTGTGAAATTCATTTATCTAGTAATTTATTCTGTTAAACAGTTAACAAAATAAAGGTATGAGCACTCTCTCATACCGAAAAAGAGCTACAGTATACCTGCACAGTGCACACACATATCTTGTTTAATATTTGTATATTTGCAGGATAATAGTTAAGTTAAAGATTGTTAGCCCACACAGTTTTGAACAAGATGTGTTGATGATTTGCATGAAAATGCTTTTTAGGGAGTGTTGATTCCCAAGGGAATAAACGCTGCTGTCCAGGATTCCTCACTTTACCCGGGGCCTTAAATTAACTCCATATCTGGGACTTTGGGCCCCCGGTCCTGACCTAGCTGGCTCGCAGGCTGAGAGATTGTCTGGCTGGATGAGAGGATGACTAATCTGGTGGCTGGCTGACTGAATATTTAGAGGATTAAATCACTGCTGGTCCGTGTGCAGGTTTGATTCTGAGAGAGAGTTTTGTGACTTATGTAAGAACTTCTTACGACTTTGTGGACCACATCAGCGAGGGGTGACAGTCTTTGGGCTGTATCACCATCGAGTTCAATGATCATGTTACAAGGTTCTGTTTCTGTTTAAAGGCAGGGATCCATGTTTCCTGGAAAAGATCAGCCACTTTTGTCTATACTTTCTTTGTCATCATACTCCTCAGTTGATTATCACAGAAAGACACTGGGTACTGTGATGAGAAACCACAACACACAGCTGTTTTTCTTTCTCGCAGGGATGGAACATATCCTTGAACAATGTAATATAAAACACAATCCCAATCATTTCCCAGTACAGATGTCTGCCAGTTTTGCGGCTAATTAAATACATAATGTGAATACCACATTAGTAAACCACCTTTACTACCCTTATAGTCCTTAACAGTGACATGGCTTCTTCTTGTCTGGCCTTCTTTAATGTTTGTATCTTCTGTTTTGATCTTAGGGCTATCCAGGGGTGCCAGGCGGTCCAGGGGACATCGGCATGCAGGGGCAACCTGTAAGTGTCATACCCTCCCCACTACTATGCATTACCAAAAAGTGACTGTTTTCATTGGAATGATTGCTATAAATCTATATTTGCTATATGTTTTAAAAAGTAAATTGTGTACTACTTGCACACCACCGGATACAGCTTGTTAACTTGTTTTTGCTGAGGATTATGTTCCTCCTTCTTTGAGTCATACACACATTAGTACTAAATTGACTTAGAAGCTTGGAAGACTTGACTCTCATCTTGCCTACTCAGGGTATTGGCTGAAAAGAATAAACAGCTAAATTACCAGATGAACTTGAACTGAGTTGGATGAACATACTGTTGGTTTTTGTAAACACATAAAATGTAAGGGGGGATTTTAATCCGTTTTCATGTTTCCCACAATGTAGTCTAGACTTTATAAACAGCATGAACTGGCAGATTGTTCAGTAGCTCTGCTGAAGCTACTGAAGCTTTTGTAAAGCATCCATCAGGGCTGGTGTTGTGTTGGGTTTAAAGAAGCATGGAGAAGTGCATGCCCTGTTTAGTTTGTGTAAATATTCTGACAGTATTACATTTTTGTCCAACTGCATCATGTCAAAGAAACATGAACATCGTCCTAAACTACTTCTCCAAATCCTAATCCCGTGTCTGATGTCCATCTTGTGGTTCTTGTTATCGCTCACAGGGTCCAGCGGGGCAGACGGGGAGTCCAGGCACTGCTGGGTCAAAGGGCAGGAGGGTAAGAGCAGTCTTTGAGGCATTATTTCTACGAGTCCTTTGAATGTTGCTGTGAGCCCACATCCACTCAACATCTCATGAAAACTTCCCCTATAAGGTAGTCTGTTTCACATCACAACTCCAGTCCCACAAACCAAAGGATAAACCAATTAAAAGACATGTGTTTATCCTTCCACTTGGTCTGAGCTTCTTTACAACAGTTTCGTATGCGCCAAGAATCACATGTTTAAGGACGTTAAAGTAATGTTAAATGGAGAGGTAATACTAGTGAGACATCGTGTGGCTGAGAGGAGAATGACACCTTACTCAATTTTCGATGGCAGTATGAATAAAGACACAACTTAATACATTATTTTGTTTAATTATATGAATAGTTTATGAAAATAAGTAATATCTCTCCCTAAAACACATTGGGCAATACAACCATAATTTAAAGAATGTGACATTTTCATTTAAATAAATATACTCTGTTTATTTTATTTGGTACACCTTGGGGGTTGGACACAGTTATGGCAACACCTGTATAATCTACTTTGAAGTATAATAGTTATCTCTAAAATGTAACTTTACTGACACTTAATCTTTGTTTCAAGATGGCTCATGTTTAAGTTGAATAATATTTTAACTCGTGTACAGTTTTTATTGCTCTAATAATATTTCCCTTGATCATACTAGATCCTGGCTCAATAGAATCAAACTGTTTAGTATTGCCTTTAGCCTGTGAAGTTAAAGCAGAGCAATTACGCAGCCTGTAAGCTCTAACTGCATGCTTGTGTTTTTTATGCAAGAGTGGGCGGTTCACATTGTGAGATGATTTTAATAAAGAAGATATTGAATGTATTTTAGAAGGAGAGCAGCTTGATTGTGTGCAGAGGGCTCTGCACACCACCAGAAAAAGAAAGCTGCTACTATCTGATTCGAGTATCAGTGTTTTGCTTCTATCAAACAAGGTTAATAGAATTAGAATTAGTGCTAAACCCAGTGCCTTTACTTAGTCATATACTTATTGAAAAAGATTGAAAAACTAAATTAATTTCATGACTGAAAAATACTTTTTACATACATTCAGTTTAGGCAAGGCAGGTGTATTAAAATAGCAGATATATCAACACAAGACAATTCTTAAAGCATTACAGAAAACATTAGAAGCATTAAGGAACAGTGCAACACATTCACAATATAAAATGACAACTAAATGTATTTCAAAACTGTCACTAAAAAGCCAAAGGTATTGCAAATAAACAAAATAAATAAGAATATGACAGGTATAGAACACAATATTTAAAGTTACAGTGCAGTGTAAGATATGAATAGTTATTTGATTTAATAGAAGGCCGTGGTAAAAAGAAAAGTCTTCTGCATCAATTTAAAACAAGTGAGAGATGCAGCGGACCTGCAGTGTTCAGGGAGTTTGTTCCAGATATATGGAGCAGTGTTCTGCTTTACTTTCTTGGATACAAATGCTCAGTCAAAAACTTCAGTCGCCGTTGACGGTCATTATTTAATCCAATATGTCTCTGTAGTAACAGTGTCCAAAATGCATAATCCAGAAGTGCTGTGATGATTTATTTTTTTAGTTCATAAATATTCAGATGAGCTATTATCTTCTCAAAGAATATTTGCCAATGTAATCAACTGTTTATTTTCCAGTGTGGATTGTGCTGTATTGCGTGCATGTTCACCGGGTATGATAGTATCCGGGAAACATGTGCTTATCCTGCCTTTAATTTACAGTAATGATTCCTAAAATGATGGCTTACGTGCACCTCCCTGCAGGGACAGTCTGCCTAACAGTTCCATGGTAAAGCTTTCTTTCTGATTAAATGTGAGTTAATTTCAGTTGAGCAAGAAAATGAAAGAGAAACGCTTACACATCAGTTGAGTGATGCATACTTCGGCACTTCTTCTCACACTTCATCAATCATCTGTTAGTCACTTCCTTTAATCCTCTGCTCCCTTTTTTCAAAGCAAAGCATATGGTAGCTCTTAACATGCCCCTGCTTGGGTTGTTTACTGGAATCCATACATGTGTCTGTGGTTGCATTTCCTGTCTTGCTGAGGTGAGAAATAATTACCCTCAAATCCTCCCACTTCCTCATTAGTGTTTATTTTCCATTGTCAAGGCATATTATCCATTATGGACCAATGGTGAAATCTTACAATTTAAAGAAAACGTAAAGAAAGCAAAAAGAAAGTGCTGCACAGCTTAATTCTTATCATTTTACCCTCTGAGCTATACAAATAACAAGTCATATCCTGGAGCTGAATGATCTGCCATGCACCTGCCCTGGTTGGCACACACCTGCACTAGTTCTAAAGCTTTTTGTTCTTTCGGGAAAACAGTTAGTGCCGCTACTGGATTATGAAAAACGATGTCTTCCCTTTTATCTAATGTATTCAAGTCAAATTCCTCTTCCCAATTTTAATGATCACTCACAGTGGAATGAACCTCACCTGCTCAAGAAATGTTCCTGTAGACAAATGGTCTGTAATAATGTCAGTTTTTACTCGGGATAAGCAGTTGTTGAATTGGCTCCATTTAAAAGTGTTGAACTATTCTGTATGCAGACTGTTTATTATTAAACATTCAGACTAACTGGACAAAACATGTTAATGATGGTAATGACTTAATATCAACCTTTGACCAGAAACTGTGTTTTCTTTAATAGATTGATTTCTTGACCACTTAAAGTTAACTAATTGAAAGGACTCAATAAAACACTGAAAAGGATGGACAACGTGTTACAGTAGCATTGGTCACTTGGCAGAAAATATTACCTCAATGTTTTTTAAACGGTCACTGGAAAAGATTTGAGGGAGATTAATTAAAGGAAGAAAGAAAGCGAGAGAAAGATAAAGCGGGTTTTGACGGCCTGGAAGCTTAAAGAGAGAGGAGTGACCTGAAAGGGACGGGAGTGAGACAGGAAGCCAGAGGCTCAGACCAAACAGGAACTGAACAAGGGCCATCAAGGCAAATATAAAGAGGGGGGGGAGACCAGATGGAAGCAAAAAAGGAAAGTGGAAAAGTCCTGAGGACGAAAACGAGGGACAGGAAGTAAAAGGGGCGGGTCTTGTTGTATTTACAGATTGTTATCTGTCACTCTACCTGTGTGGTATAGCTCCAATGCTGGGAAGCCTCTGGAATGTTTGTGGAATGGTGGGCTGTGGCATTAAGTGGAACCCCCCCCCCAAGTAGATAAATACAGGACTAATTACTTTGTTGTTGGAGTTCACTATATGGCGACGTTTGTATGATGCTTTGATGGTTACTGTGTTCCTGTATTGCTCATTCTTTGTTGAGTGAAATTCAAAGGTGTGTCTCATATTGCTGTCACATAGGGGCCCCGGGGTTCAGATGGCCCACTCGGAGAACCAGGCCCTGAGGGCACCAAGGTAAACCTACACACCACCCTCTTGGAAACATCAGCATGTAAATGTGAAAATGAATGAGATGTAATACATTTTATTTATAAATAAAGATGTTGTACTTTTGTTTGAAACATGTGTGTATCCTCCGCTGGAATTATCGGTCCAATTTAAGAAAACTGCTTTTGTGAAATAACTTTTCATATAATATGATTGGTTTATATAATTTGTCCCTTTATTCATAATGCCTTCCACAATGTGGCATGCTTTTTCTTTGCAGGGTGAGAGGGGTGACATTGGAACAAAAGGAGAGCCAGGATTCATCGTAAGTAGTCTTTTAATTATTGTCTTTAATCTTATATTAGCGTGTGTAAGAGTCAAACCGGGAAATGCCAAAAGCCATTAAATAAGACGCTACATAGTTTACTCAATGTATTAGAAATACTTAAGTTGAACATGATGAATGGTTATAATGCTATAAACGTGTTATGCATAATACATTTCTGGATGAACGCTTCAGGCTTTTGTGAAATGAGAAGGCTTATTTGGATTTGCCCTCATTCATCAGAAGCCAAGAATAATCATTGTTGTAAAAACAGCATCATCCTGAAGCATCTAGGTTAACACGCACATCCCTTTTTAAAGATGCACATCCATCTCCTGGAAGAGATGTTTCCGCATCCAGCTTTACCCTCGGGCCTCTGTTAAAGCTTGATGAGCCTTTAATCAGTTTTTATTTGCACAATAGGCCTTTGTCTTCTTGCCTCTGTATCAGGTTAAACCCAAATGGAGTTATGTGCCGCTGCCCGCTCGTTGGGAGGAAATATGAGCTTAATCTGTAGGATGTATTTGTATTCTTGTAATGCCTCTGTTGGTCATTTTCATTTAGGTTGAGTGAATATTTCTAATTTACGTCCCTCACCTTTGATTTTAAACAGAATGTTGCTCAAAGGTCCCAATCAAACATCAAACATTGCTTCATAGCATCTTTACAAATCTACTTTATACAAAATCTTATGTTACAATCGTTTACTTTTCAGAGACATATATGAGATTATTTAGAAGTTTCAACAGACATCAATCTGGAAAACCCTTATGGATCTGCTTTCTTAGCAATGCATTAAACAAGAACATGTGTTTCCATAAAACACGTCAGAGCCATAACAAACCCAGAACACACAAACTGAACAATTAGACAAGGAGGATGAATATGTTGCCATTATTTCTCTCAAAATAAATTAAAATCATTTGGGTTGATTGACTGCATCTCAATCATTTTAAAATAATTGTTTTCTCCTTTGAAGGGCAAGGCTGGCAGTCCAGGGGAGAGAGGCCCTCCTGGGAAGAATGTAAGTAATGCTTAACTGAAGCTGCCGGCTCAATGTCTCTTTCAGAACCTTAATTATCCTCTTCACTTTAGCTAGAAGCACTTGTAAAACATTTCCACATCCTCTTTCACCTGTAATATATATAATTATACCTTCTAAAGTGTGTGCACCTATAAAGTCACCCAAGAGGAAGTTGTCATTGTTAAACGGAGAAACCGAGCACTGTTTTCAGGCTCATAATCAAAACATATGTCCATGTATTCACCCACATTCAACTTTAGTGTGTTGGTGTGCTTCTCTCCATCCCGGGAGAGGTTAATGCGGTTTGGGGGCTTTTACTTATCCAAGTGAGGTTTGAAAAATACACAGGGTGTCTAATTCTGTACAGATCGTAAAGCCCCATCAGGCAAATGTGGTATTTGTGATATTAGGCAATATAGAAAAAATGACTTGACTTGACGTATTAGGTTTTGTTCAGCAGTACTAATCAATAATCAAATCAATGAAACTTGGCTGCATTTCCTGCCTGTGTATTTAAGAAATAATGAGTAATTTTCCACATAATGGATGATTGGTTTTATGGTTTTGAATGAAGCAATTGTGACCATGATATGTACAGTATGGAGCAGGACAATGTAGAGTTTAAATGTGCACTTGGCAGTGCTCTCTGGTGGACACATTATGTAATGGCTAAACCGTTCAGACAAATTACCACAAACATATTTTTGACATCTATAGGTCATTTCTTGTTATTTATCCCGCTGGCATGTACGTCCCCACCAATGTATCTAGCTCATAATGGTCAATGATTTCATCCCACTGATTTATTGGTCAGGCTCCACTTCAACGAGACTTTAACTATCCCAGCGGAGAAGTTTAGTATTTTCAGCTGCTAGGAATACTATGTAGGACACACACTGATTATAATGTTGGTTTTTAGTGCCACACAACAGACAGACTTTTGGCAGCTTAAAAGCTGAATTTTGCCAGCAGACTCTTGTTATTTTCTGTTCTTACTATAAAATAAATGATGGATAGTAGTTTTATATGCTTTTGAAGTGCAGAAGGATGAAATAACTGATGTTCCACAGATGGTAAAAAATGTGCAAACAAAAACAAATCAAAAACACATTCAAAAGCAGATCCAAGTGGACTGTCTAATTCTTAAATGATGGTCATTATATTCAAACATGTTTCTTATTTAGCTGTTTGTTTCATCCATTTATGGCAGGAATTACAAAGGAAGGTTTCCAGTTAGAAGAAAAAGCCCTAACACCTGCATGAGTAATCATTGTTGGACTCATTTGTTTATCTTTGTTATTTGTTTGTCCACTGACAAATAACTTCCTGACTTGTATTGGAATAACATTTGACACTTCAGGGTTGTTTGTAATTAGTCTTATCAGATGAACAAAGACCGACAAAGACACGCTCAGACATGTTGTCTCACACTCAGATATAGCATTCTGGACTTCCACATGGACAACAGACATACCTGGGGCTCGTTGAGACCCGTCCTCCTGATCACATGCTGCTGATGTTAAAATGAATCCCCCATCCTCAGAATGTTCTGAGGAGGATCATTAACCTCACTGATTGGACAAACATAATGTATATCTACTTCCTCAGGCGATACAGTTGATGCAGATACAGTAGAGAGGGCACTTCTGTTGTCCACCTCTTGACTCACAGCGCCATCTTGTGTCTGATCAAATCTGCCTCAATCATCAATGTATCATACATTATTCCTCATATGTTCTTTGATTTAAATCAGTGATACGTTTTACATACATCTTCTTGTTTTCCTAAAAATACTTGTATAACTATTTTTTTTGACAATAAACTCTCGCTGGCTCAATACACAATATGTGAGATGTGAGAACAGTTTAAGGTTTTTCCGCTTCCTTTTTGTTCAATTGATTCTGCTTCACTCTTTATAAGACCTTTTTTTTTAAACAGCTGAGACGTTTGAGATATTTTCTTTTTCTTTTCAGTCATATTGACTTAGCAACAGATGTTTTATGAGTTTATATTATCATGGAACAGGTTCTAATGTTTCACAATAAGTTGTTAACCAATTTATTCTACAGCTAATGGGTGATACTGCTGGTGGAAGCATTTTTATCTAATCAAACTTTGGCACATTATTTGTGTTTAGAACAACCAGCTTTCACAACCTCCCACATGAAAAGTCCTGCCAATGTCTCTGCGAATGTTGGACCAAACACTGTTTCAAATTAGGGTGTCTTGTCATAACTTGGCAACACAATACGAAGCAGGGAAGCCAACCTGTTTGCGTTGAATGAAGGAGTTTCCGTGTCATGTCTGCAGGCAACACGCAGAAAGATTAGGCATAGTAAGCTTGTCTGTGGTTAACTTGCAAATGATAATGATGATAATGACGAGACAAGGTCTGAAGCCAAAGCCAAGCACTCTCATGCTTGTTTTGTTTGAATACACAAATGAATTACTGAAACTACACTGAGCTCATAACTGTGTGTGTTTCCAGGGAAAAGCTGGTATTCCAGGCAACTCCGGGGAGACGGGACCCCACGGAGAACCAGTAAGTGATACTGTTACATTAATGTGGTTATTTCAGGAATCTGCAAACAAACCACAAATTCTGATGACCTTGTCTGTAATTTGTAATACACCATTATTCTTAGCAACGTTTCCAGTGAAAAAATCTGTCAGGCTCTGAATTATTTAACCAACACTTAAGAATCGCCAATGTTAAGAAGTTATTTTTATTCGTCTCTGTTTATTGTAATATTCTCTCTGAGTTCCTCACAACTTAAAACACCATAACTTGTGCTTCTCCTAGAGATTAGGTTTCAAGTACTTAATTGTATTCCTGGAAATTAGCCGACCCCTCAAGGGCATCAAGAATGTCAAACAATCAGATACAAATATTTATTAGGTTCCAAAAACACCAGAGGCCTGGTTTATGTTATGCGTCTCATCTTGCCTTTGGCTGGTCTTCAGTCTTACTCCAAGCATTCTGAACTCTCAGATGTTCCTATTCTGCAGACTTAAACATTCAACCTTGCACTACTTGTTTTAATAAACGTAGCCATTATATGCTAGAGTTGCATATTATTATGTACTAGTGTGGAATTCTCAAATATACTGTATCTACTGCATGATTTTATCATTAGGATTGTGCCCTCAAGGCATTTTATGATTGTTAATCTTTTTTGCAGGGACCCAAAGGACCCCCTGGGGAGAAAGGACCTGATGGAGAGCAAGGACCTGAAGTACTTAACCATTTTGCAATTATTTGTCCATGATATTGGGTATTATACTGTAGTTCCAATGTATACAGAACAAATGAAACATGACTCATGCCTTTTTGTTTGTCATCTTGGTAGGGTGTGCCTGGTGCAGAGGGGGAACCGGGTGCCATCGGAGAGCCGGGGTCAAAGGTCAGTATTTTTTGCAATCCCCCCCCCTCCCACCACAACATTTGTCATGTTGAGCCTCAGTCCCAACCACCCTGCAGCAATGTGAAAAGATGTGACCTTGACCTCTCAATTTGTACTTTGGTGTGAAACAACAGCTAACTGACAGTCTGACTTTGACTAAGCTTCAGGTATCAATGAACCTCAATGTGAAAGTCTAGGACGGCACATATGTGTTTTGACAGCCCTGTGTTGTGTTTTGTGTTCCTGCAGGGTGATGCCGGGCCTCCAGGAGCTGAAGGGGAGCAGGGGCCGGAGGGATTGAGAGTGAGTTACTGCAAACAACCCACTAATCCTTTCCTTCTTTGTGTTTGGGTACATTTAACCCAGCAGTATATTTATTCACCCTCATTTTCAGGGAGATGTGTAAACCCAGGCTCGAAGAGAGCAATGACATTGTTTTTGTCTGATGGCCTTTATATATATATATATATATATATATGTATATATATATATATATATATATATATATATATATATATATATATATATATATATACTGTGTATAGCACTTTGACTTCCTGAGTCTCATCTTACTGTTCTGAAAAAATAATTAGATTCAACGTTCTTTAACGGAGTAGCTCGGACAGACAAGGTGTCCTTGCTATTTTCTTTTGCATCACATACTTGGAGGGCTCACAGAGAGCACAGACCTCCACCAAGGTAAAATGCCTTCTCTTGCAATGTTGAAAAAAGTGTGAAATAGTTTGTGTATCTTCCCCTTGATTTGGTGCTGTTTCAAATTGTAATGGATTCCTCCTTAGCCCATGTTAAACCCTTCCACCAAGTTTTGAAAAACGAGTCCGTAGTTTTTCTGTTACCCTGCTGACAGAGAGACAAATAAACTCAACAATACCGAAATATAACTGCTATGGCCGAGGTCATAAATGGTCCCCACCAATTTGACATGTTAAACCAAATGTGTCTTATTAGACATATTATTTTATATGATCTTATTACTTATTGTATTGCCCATCAGTAATATTAGCTGTGAGTAGATATAAAGCTGCCTTGTAACTTTCCACCACAGAGGGCAGTGAAAGACTGGTGTAAAGTTACTCTGACACTCTTACATGATCCCCCATTATTACTTTGACAGTTGCATAAATTGATGATATTGAAAGTTATCCCTGCTCTATACTTGTGCACTTTGTAGTCTCAATCTGTAATAGGTTGGTTTACCCAAAAAATGAAAATGTATTTCCTTAAGTTAGCCTTTATTACTAGCTGTTATTACTACTTGAATTTGTCCTGGATTTGAGATGCTAACACGCAAGCAACACGTAAGCGACAGTTATTTTTTGCATAAACAGTGTCCCTTTTACCAAGGTGCTACACTCATAGAACTCACCATCGCAGAGGAAATAACAAAGTAACAGTTCTCACAGTTGAGATATCAATTTTTTTTGTTTTGTATAAATGGGATTTTCTTTTTTAGGGTCTTTCTGGTCCCACTGGTGAAGACGGCCCTCAAGGAAAAGACGGACCCAAGGTAGGATTGGCAAGACCTTTTTTTTTATACATTTACTTCACTCCTTTTTATTGGAAATCCAGATGTAGCTGAGTCATGGTTTTGTTTCAGCAGCGTTTTTACAACAATAAATGGGAGTTTTCTGTAAAGTATGCCTTCTTCAGGTCATCAAAAAGAAAAACAAATGCATTTCCCATCTTTTCAAGTGTGGCAAATGATAACAAGTGTTTTTTTCTGTAAGGCATGGTCTGACCCATCAACCTCGTATTATTAAACCTTCTAAATGATAACTGAACTGTCTTTAACTCAGTTTCCCCTGCTCTACCTCTCATCTTTTTTGGTGACAATTACACCTTCAGGGTGAGCCTGGGGAAACTGGGCCAATCGGAGAGCCAGGAGAAAAAGGAATAGAAGGAGACCCTGGGCCCATAGGACCACCCGGAGGGCCTGGGAAACAAGGCTTTCGTGTACGCTTATTTTATGTTTCCATACAGCTCCTCTGGGGGAGCGGCTTAATTAATAGAAACTGCTGTCTGTATTATCATTCAGTTTGACTCAAAAGAGACAGACTTGCTTTAACAATGATATGTATGATTTCATGTCCCTTTTTTGAAGCAAATAACTATATCTGAAAAAAGCTGGTAGTTTCAGTTAGTCACAGAACGGGTACTTCTAGTTCCCAACTGTGTTTTTTATGTTAGACCCAAACACAGATTGATGGATTATGAGCATACAGCTGATGCGTCATGGCAAGATAAATCACACCTTAAGAGTTAAGACCCCCCCAACTGACAAAGCAGATGACTAAAGTGCTTTGAACCAAATAGTGCCTTCTTTATCCCAGTAGGGGTCAGCCTTCTCTTCAACAAAGCCTTTTTGCTACAACGGCAGTAAAAAATACAATGTCTTAGATTGTGGTTTCAGCACTGCGTGATAATGGTCATTCAAACTCACCTTTTTGTTTGAAATACAGATCCTATCTAAAGGTCTTTAGGGGCGTAAAGGTCACATGTGTCACGAGATTAGACCCCTTCCGAGCACACATATAAACAGCTCAGAGAAAGCAGTATTGCACAGTTTATAAATGTGTAAGCTGACAAACCTTATAGCCATTTTTAATGTTATTGTGAAGCTATTCACCTCTGTAGAAAGTTGTCCACTCATAATGTATTTTTAAAACATAATGTAGTTTCAGAATCTACAGGTGGGTGTTTATAAATCATGTGCAGTTATCAATGCCTCTGATTATAGAATGGATTGTCATGTCTATGATAATCATTTAATGTTTCTCCTGCCCAAGGGGCCCGAGGGAAAACTGGGGCCCCCAGGGAACAGAGGGCGGCACGGAAAGAAGGTAAGGACCACTACTTTTTTCACCCACAATGAAGTGTGCTGTTTCTCACCCCCAATTGTCAATCTGTCTATTTCCAGGGAGAGAGAGGTCCTCTGGGTCTTGTCGGTGAGACTGGCTCTCGGGGAGACATCGGCCAGCAAGGCGAGCCGGGGCTGAAAGGGGCCCGGGGAACTCGAGGCACACCAGTTAGTTCCATTCTTCCTGTCTCAGAAACACAGACATTTATTCATCCTTTTTTCACGGTCAAATAATGAAGTCAAAGTATTGTTAATAGTTTTTTATTATTCAAAAAAAGAGTGCTACTGTTTGATGGCCTGCAATTGGCATGCTGTGTGAGTACTGGTGTTACATCGTAAGGAACGAGATTTGAAACAAACAAACTTGTCTGTGGACTAATGTCATGCACTGATAGCCTTTGTATCTGTTTAAGGCCAATGTTGTATTTAGCTGACCCAGCAAAACAAAAAAGCAGAACAAATGGATTTACGGTCTTATTGTAAGGACATTTTCTGCATTGCTTCCAGGGTCAGCCTGGAGCCATGGGGGTAGAAGGGCAACCAGGACTGGCAGGTTACACAGTGAGTATCTCCCATTTGTGGTTTTATGTTACATATGTACTGTCATGTTCTAACAGCATAGTAAATACCCTGAGTGGTCTGTAGTCTAGGCTCAGCAAATCCCACCATGTTTACATTTACATGTCACAGAAGAGGAATACTAAATTATCTACATTTTATACAAAATCCAGGATTCCTCTCCAATCTAGAAAAAGCTATTAAAGTACAGCTGTTTGAGGATATACATTAAACGTAAGCCTACTTAAAAACATGCTTAAGATACAGATGTCATCTCAACAAAGGGGGTTCAATCATACTCACCTCCCCTGGGAGCCGTGCGCTGTGAACCAAACATGTGCTCGAGACATCCTGGTTTGAGTCTTGTGAAGTAAACATCATCCCTGCTATTCTTATATTTCCTATAACTCTTAACTGATTCATTGGAATACCAGGAAAGAAATACCCAAATATTGGCAAGATAAAAGAGCAGAGGTTGAATTTAACGTGGACAACTCTAGCAACTCCACACCTTCTTCAATGCTAACATCAGTGGGTTTAGATTGCATTACTTGAGCGGGGCACCTCAAGTTCACTTAGTGTCTTTTTGTGTGTGTAGAGGAGTTTGGTTGTGTACGGAGGCTCTCAGACCCCTTTGACTCAGGTTGCTGTGGGATTTCTGAGTGTGTGTCAAAGCCCAAATCCTCCAGTGACAGATGGAGCTGCTCTTCAAAGACTGTTGTTTACATTAAACAGTTCTGATTAATATGTTGACAGCAAAGCTCATGTTTCTCCTAGAAACATGCTGTAGCCAGAAAGAGTTTGGCAGCTTTGTGGGCTACTATAATCTGCGTTCCTTTTTTTCAGGGTCACCCTGGCATGTCTGGGCCCATTGGACCACCCGGGCCTAAAGGAGAAAAGGTAATATAACACAAACTAGTGTTTGAAATTGAATTATTTCAGTGGTTGAGGCCTTTTGTGTTATTGTACTTTAACACACTGTCAGGTTGCAAAATCTATTATGTCTGCATGTGTGATTGTGATTTTGCTACATTCCAGGGTTATCCAGGGGAGGACAATAGGACCCCAGGACTGCCAGGGCCCTTAGGTGAACCAGTAGGTCTTGCTTTCCTTTAAACCCTCCTTTCTGATCCCTAACACAAACTCTGTTTATTCCAAGCCATTTAATTACCGGATTGACACTGAATGTAAGAGTTAATCTCCTGAGTTTTACGCAGAGTACACACATTTTTGTCCCACCAGATTGACCATAATGAATAAGTCTTTCTGTTGTTAAACCTGCATATGGACCCAGATTATCAACCTGTGTGGCAAGGGTCTTCTTTGCTCATTAGTATGAACAAGCTGAAAATGTTTGGCCACAGTTTGCCTAGCTGGGTTTGTGTTCCAATATTTGCCCATAATGAAAATCACACTGAACACCAATGTTCTAATGTAAAAACTGAAAATGGCTTAATTTCTGTGCATTTGTTGTTTGTTTATCTAGTTTGATGATGGCCATGACTCACCTTAATTTACCCCAAAGGATTTTATAGATGAGAAAACAAAGCTGTTCTTAGACTAATACCAAAAGAGGATCAGGACTGATCAAAGAGTTTTAGCACCGGCGGGAAAGCCCAAAGTTATACCATGACTCTCATGCATGCTGAGACACATTTCTCAGCACTTGACTAGGCCACTAACACAGGCCCACATGGCATTAACTGTCAGGGTTACTGGAAGGTATAGATAGCAACCTACCATACGAGTAGTATTGGATTATCAAGTTGGCACAGTATTAGAGTACATAGCTAGAGCAACACAATGGCAGTCTGTGTCTTGCTGCAGCCACAACCAAAATTGGCTAAAAGTAAGGATCAGGGTGAAATTGTGCCTTTCCATTTGACTCCAGTTAAGATCCGTTCTCACAGGTCGCATATATACAATATGCTGAGAGGTGACTCAGAGAGTAGTTGGCCAGCTCAATTGACGCTTTGTGGGTATAAATGAAGGTATGCATGTACAGTATGTGTGTTCATGTGTGAGCATCTGTGTCTACACAGGGGCCCCCAGGAGAACGAGGGGAGCGTGGAGAGCCTGGGGATGAAGGATATCAGGTACACAAAACCATTAAAAAAAACATTAAACATATAACACAGATTGTTGTTCATACTCTTTTGGCTCCATTCATCACCACACCGCTCAGGTGCAGTGAGCGTACACAATACATGTTGAAGAGGATAACCACAATTCCAGAAATAATGCTGCATGAAGTCTGTCTTTTTGTCACTTGATGCCTCTGAGGAACATACATTATTTTGAAAGGTTGGTGTTTTCATTAGTCTGTGAATGGATCTACAAATGTGGTCTGTACATGACGCATTTTAAACAGAGAAATACAAACATTGTTTAATTTCGCTGACGGTTACAATAAATAGTTTTGATGCATTATCATTGTTATTCTTTTCCCTACTGGTTTCTAAGCCTAAATGTTGCCTCCAGTCGTGCTTTTTTAAATTGGTATAATCAAAACATTGAAAACATTTCCATAATATAGAGTTTTATTTAAGTATCTTACTTCTATGCTAAATGAAAGTGGTACTTTCAATTAATTGTTTCTAAGACTCATTAAAGCTACATAATGAAACCCTACCTGAAAAACTTTTCCTCTCAGAGGTGACCAAAGCTCCTTTGCCCACAGTGTAAACCCTAACTTCCCCACTTATCTGAGCTCCCAGCATGGCTAGCTAGCATTTGCAGCACTTAGCGAATTTAGCAACAGTCGCTAACCCCGGAGACACAGATTTTCTTGCTGAAACCCTGAATATTGGGTTTAATTTCAGTGTAACTGTTTTGAGTGCAGTCCTCTGATATATTCCTTTAGTAAATGATGGTAACCTCAGAACTCATCAAGATTTAGAATCAGATTGAAAAATATAGTTATATTTTTTAAATGTTTTCCAGGGCCATGTTGGTACCACTGGACTTCGTGGGGCTGTTGGACCACAAGGCCCTCCGGTAAGTCATTACATTTCTCTATGGTAGTATCTGTAGTATATCATAATAGTACTGTATACGCTCTTTAATATTTTTGGTACATCCATTTGAATCACCATACCAGTGGATTGTACACAAAGTGAAGCGTATAAACTATGAAAAGCAAAGGGAAGTAAAGGAAAGAACAAAAATGTTTATTATTTTCATTGTATTTGAAAAGTTTCAAATGTTTCGAAATATATAGAATCATTTTACCATCATTATTTCAACAGGTTATTTTGTAGACACTTTTGAGTATGGATTTATATATTTATAAAGATTATTGTTTGTTTGTGTGTTTGTCTTTGTTCAGGGGTCCCCAGGCATCCCTGGAGAAGCAGGTCCAAAAGGAGAGATAGGAGCCCCGGTGAGTCCCTGTAAATCCCCATAGCAGGAAAGACATATATTACATACATAAAAGTTCATTTTTAAATGTGGTTACTTCCCTGCAAAAATTACAGACGGCTTCAGCATTAGCATGTTTCTACTGCCACTTTTAGTAAGGGCGAAAAAATAAACTCAGCTTACCAGAAGTAGCAATATATTATTATTAGGAAAGTACAGAAACAGTTCTCCACAAGACACATGAGGCGAGTGATGTACATAACTGTGTTTTGTGAATCCCCATTTATGGTTCATTCTTAATGTGTGTGTTTAATCCAGGGCTTGGCTGGAAAGATTGGAGCAAGAGGGCTGACTGGAACTCCTGGCATGGAAGTGAGTGGCACATCACCTCAACCAAATGCATGGTTCAAAGAGAGACAGCAGCATAACAATCAAAAGCACTATCAACTGTTTGAGCTTTTTGATCATGATAATGCAGCTTGGCATATGGGAACAGCATCACCAAAGTATTGCATGTTTACAAATTGGTTACCACTACTGCATATAAAGAGGACAGAGAAAGCAATGAAGATAAAAATGATCATGTAACTTAACACTAGAACCGCCAATCGGGTCAATTTGACCCAGAGCTGTTTTTTATTGTGTGTAACTTTTTTTCAATAAAATATTAAAGTCTTCCAGTCCGTGACATTTCCTGAAAGTGTGTTATGTAGCACCCTATGTTGTTAAAAATTGTCAATATGAAGTCAGATTAAAGAAATCGCCCAAAAAATTGCCATTTATACCTATTTCCGCCAAGCGGGTCATATTGACCCCACCCCTTTTCATATAAACATGACGTGTTGCCTAGCAACGCCTTTTGTCTACTGCGGTTCCTTATAGATTGAGAGATAGATTGAGAGAGAGAGAGATAGATGGATAGATATCTTGATAGATAGTTATAGATAGATAGAGAGAGAGATAGAGACAGTCTGTAGTGAAGGAGTGCGCTCCCGCTCATGGGAGACTGCTCGCGCTGCGCTCCGCAGCAAACAGCTGTGGGGCGAGTTGAAAGTACGTTATGCTGGCCGCGGTGTCTAAATAATGCTTCCGGGCCAGCGGGCCATTTATAATGTCGAGCCCTGAGAGTCCACAGATTATATTGGTATACGTTTCATCCCTGTGCGATCAAAACTCACTGTTCAATAAAAGAATATTTTACCTTGAAAATCAATGCATTCTAATAGCGGGTCAATTTGACCCAGGTGGCGGTTTTAGGTATAAAAAATCTCTGACGGTTCTAGTGTTAAATGCCTTGCTGTTCTCGATTAGAAGTTAATATGATGAATGGGCGTTTGCCAAAAACGTTATGGATCTTTAATTTAGTCCTGGCAGAAAACCTTTGGCTGAAGTCTGCTGCAATTAATCTCTTTATCCACAGTGGTGATTTTAGAGAGAGAATTAGGGTGTTGAAACCTGGAAGCATTGTCTGAGATAGTAACACATTGTTACTGTTTTGTATAATTTCCAGGGGCCAATCGGTTTACCTGGACTCACAGGAATGATGGGTTACCCAGGGTCGGATGGTCCCCCAGGACTGACTGGCCTACCAGGATTTCCAGGAAAAAAAGGACGAAAGGTAATCGATGGGAGCATTTATATAGTCAGTTAAGTCAGTCATAAAGACAGTCATGATTAAATGAATGGCTTCTCTTTTTCTTTTCAAAATGATGAAGCTGACTATTGGACTAAAACTCATGTACACAAGAACCCGGTTTTATATTGCTATTCATCAAAACATCTTGCTCAGTAACATTGATGTAAGTCGCAGAAGGAGTCAGATGATTTCATTATATTTCATCTAAGAGGACTTTCCCTTCACTTTACTCTTGGCCAAATCTCTATAGCAGACTTGTGGGCTGAAACAGGAGAATATACAAAGCTATTGATACATGCTCATCTTGCTTCTATTCACTACATGAGTTTAATCTCCACTGCTCTGTGGAGGCTGTCACAGCAGGAGAGGTCCACTGCATCCTTTGTTTTCAATTTCACAATACATATTTCCATAGCAGCCTGTCCTCCTACAAAAAACGACCATATAGGTCGATTGTTCAGCAGCTTAATACGACCCAGAGTCACGTTTTAAAGTGTAGCACCTCTAGTGGTTGTGTAAGAAACAACATGCTCCCGTTGATTGCAAACGCTCCGGAGGGTCGTTTATTCACAAATAACCCTCTCTGGAAAATCCTAAATTGTGGAATAGTTTAGCCATTAAAATGCTTTTTTATTAGATTTCTAGCGAGAAGTCTATATTTTACTTTTGTAATCTACGTCCAGTGGATGTGTAGGATCTATAGTTTGATAGATATTACGAAGATGATTTGAGGTCTCGCCAGGAGAACGTGTATATGCGGCAGCTTCCATGTAAAGTTAGCGTCAACCCTCACTGGGTGAAAACTGTTTTTCCGGTCTCGAAGTTTTCATAATAAAACCGGAAGTATTCCCCTCACTGTCAAATTATTACACAGTGATATCTGCATTACTCATCCACTAAAAAACATCAGTTTATCCTTGTTAATTACACAATATTGATTGGTTTAAATTGTGTACAATGCTTTTGTGTTTTTAACCTTCGATTCGGAGAAACAAATAGTTTTTTTCAGAGTTTAGACACTACAGAGTTTCCGAAGGCACTACACTACCCAGAATCCCCAGCTATCGTTTGGGACTACAACATCCGCCTTGCTTTACAAACCCCGTGATTAGTCCTCAAGCTCTGTGATTGGATGTTGGAGTGGCAGTGCGACAAGGTTACGCCGAGCGTCAAACAGCACTTTGAAATGGAATGGAACCACGGCAGACTCGGACGGGTCCAGCCCAGCCCCCCCCCCCCCCCCAGAATTACACATGCTGGCTATTGTGTGTTTCGCAACATGTTCTATGGCACGTCTCTACTGGGAAATGTAGTTTTAAAAGTCGTTTTCGTATTTCCCACAATTAGAAGTTGCCAGTATTAAACTGTGTACACCCCTGGAGGTTTAGGGGATACAAAACACAGTGGTGTTATCAAATTTAAAACATATAATTAATAAATGGGTGAAAATTGCTTGTGTCCATAATGGGCAGCATTAATATACCCACATGACAGCTAAGGTCAGAAGAGCTTTATTTAACAGCTGGTCTTATGTCTGTGACCCCTCCTGTTGTTAATTGATAAGCCTGAAACATGCACTTGTCAAGGTTCAGAGGCAAACTTTGCAAATATGGCAGTAGCCATCGATCATCTTAAGATAAGATAAGATAAGATAAGATATACTTTATTGATCCCAAGTTGGGAAATGTTTTTGTTACAGCAGCATGTACTACTTTAATAATAATAATAGCTTGCATTTATATAGCGCCTTTCAAGGGACCCAAGGTCGCTGTACAGTAATAGGGCAAAAACGAACATAACAAAACAAAAGTCAGACAGACTTTGTTCTACTCCACTACAATTCAGAGGTTAACCTGGTATTTTTACTCCACTACATTTATTTTAGTTACTTTGCAGATTCTGATTAATGATGTGAAATATAAACAACCCTTAAATCAGACTTTAGTTACACCTGAGTAAAATTCAGGGAAGGTGATTGTCAAGTGCCAAAATAAACTATGCAATATATTAGACGTTAAGTACTTTGTCAGACTTCATATTTATCTGTGGATACCCCCAACGTTTTTTTCTTATTCAAAAGAAGACCTTAACTTAAAGTATTCTTTAATGTTTAAATAAAGCCTTATTAGTTTGTCTGTTTTGCACATCCTCCTGTTAATATCTTTGGACGTCCTCCACTAGCTGTTTTATTGTAGAGATCACTACACTATTCACTTTCTATTCTATATTTCTATCATTGACCTTCTACTTTCCCCCTATTTTGTATGTAGTCTACTCTTAATATTTAAATGTTTACATCAAATATAACATTCAACAACAAAATTCAATAACGTGCTTTAACCACTAGGCGGTGCGGGTTAAAAAACCAGTGGTCTAGTTATTAAAACATAATAATATCAAACATAATATGACTATTAACTTTATTGTGAAATTAAAACAGAACGGTAAAGGAAAATACAGTTTCAGTCTCTCGATTTGAAGCTTATGCATTGTACCATGAACCTGTATAGACCTGTAACAGTCAACTGCAGGAGGAGTTGGAAAGGTAGTTCAGTAAATCAGTAATATCTTTAAAAACTACAAATCCCTTTCTATCAGCTGTGCACCGTTATGGCGTAAATACAGACTATCTACCAATTGGATCAAATATAAAAGTCAGCCGAATTAGTATTGATACTGCAAGGAGACGTATTGTGTGAAAATAAATGTAAGATGTTGTTTAATTGCTGATATATTTATGATCCACGTCACGTATTCAGTTTTGGCGGCAGTTCCTGTTTGTCCAGAAGTCTTCTCATCAGGGCTCTATAAATAAAGAACTACGGCAGATGTGTAATATTTAATGCAGCCGAACCGTGTATTACAATGCCGTTATGTGATGACCTCCAAAGAGAAAAGCAAGAACACTCGGAATAAAGTCTTATTTGATTTTTTTTAAATGTTTTCCGATTTCATATCGCATAAACACCATATCCCAACGTGCATTGCGGCTAAAAACATCCAGGATTATGGGTGTAGTTCGATGTTTTATCAAAACCTCTGAAAAAAGAAATGTGTCTCTCAGAATCGAAAGAGAAAACCCTATGGGAAAAACACAAAAGCATTGTACACAATTTAAACCAATTAATGTCGTATAATTAACAAGGATACACTGATGTTTTTTAGTGGATGAGTACTATCCACTATATCACTGTTAAATCATTTGATCATTGGTTTTATTAGGAAAACGTCGAGACCGGAAAAATACTGTTTTCACCCCGTAACTTTACATGGAAGCTGCCGCATACCTCAAATCATCTTCGTAATATCTATCAAACTATAGATCCTACATATCGACTGGACGTGGATTCTAAAAGTACAATATACACTTCTCGCTAGAAATCTAATCAAAAAGCATTTTAATGGCCAAACTATCCTACAATTTAGGATTTTCCAGAGAGGGTTATTTGTGAATAAACGACCCTCTGTAACGTTTGCAATCAACGGGAGCACTAGAGGTCGAAAACTTTAAAACGTGATTATAGGTCGTATTAAGCGCTTGAACAAACTACATATTTGGTCGTAATAAGGTCTTGAACAATCTACCTATTTGGTCGTATGAGTTGGAGGACTTGTTGTTCCATAGTGAGAAAGATACCGTAATAAGGCTTTCCTTCCTTCCAGCTGGCAGGCTGCAGAGTCTCAGCAGAATCCTCTTTGTTGTTGTTAGTTATAACCATTTTGTTCTTTCAGTTCCTCATTATCTGCTGAATGTTTTTTTCTATTCACATTTCCAGCTGGATGCATGTTCACAGTGAGCAACAAGAAATGAATGCAGTACAGGACAACCTGTACTGAGCAGGTCAGGTGCTGGAGTCTCTTTTGGGATCGCCATTTAGTAGAAGATTCATGTACGTGTGATTTCATCAGGAAACTCTGATGGTCACTGATTTGTATCAACAAGCCTCAAAAACACAGTCTCACATGTTTAGCGCGCATGAAGAGGATTAAGAACGCCTGAACTGCTTGGTCAGTGAGTGTTGTCAATTACAAATAGATTTTGATGTGTCTGATTTTACTTATGCAAGAGCTTTCCAGCACCTGCAGGTTTGGACTTCACCCAGTAAACCTGGTTCCTGAAGTATCTGCTCTCCTAACAGTGATGGAGGAACAGAAGCCACACCACTTGTGAGGCAACGACCCACTCAATCTGTTATTGTAATATCACTCGCTCCCTTCTGCCTCAGCACTCTGCTGATGGAGCAGGAAACCACCGAGCTCTGAGGTGTGAGAGAGCACTCAGTGACAGGCGGCCAGTCATATGGATACACTTAAGGAGCACGACGTCAAGAAGTAAACCAGGACGGGCCAGCAGACTTCAGCACCACGGTTTATAGCTATGACTCTACGATGCGTTTAGAATTAGTTTGAATATATTTAAATAAACATTGAACATCATTTCATTCCATTTTTTTATTATATATAACACAGCTTTGTCCACTTTTCTTTTAGCCTTTGTTTGACATAGCCTTTCACTAAATATATAATATAGAACTTTTCCCTGTTGGTGTATTTAAGCTCCAACCTCAAAAAGTAGGGTGTAAGGCAAGCTGTTTAAGATGGGGAGATTAGGTTTAAGAGCCTGTTGATGTTTTCTGGTCCTACAGTTGGTTCCACTGAAGGACCAGAGGAAGTTTCAGTTGGTTTCACTGTTCAGGATTCAGGGAGACACCTTTCTTCCCCTGCTTCATCTCCCCATCTTTAGGAGCAACGTTTGAGTGCTTGACCTCCTCATACATTTCTGTGTTGGTTGTTTTGTTAACCACATTCAGTCTTGGCAAGTCTTGGCAAGACTTTGACCGTTGAACTTTTAAGGTATCAAAACTATGGAGCAATGCGTTGATTAGTGCAATGCTTTTCAATCAATCAATCAATGTTTATTTATATAGCCCAATATCACAAATGTTACATTTGTCTCAGTGGACTTCACAGTTTGTACAGAATGTCAGTATGACAATACGACACCCTCTGTCCTTAGACCCTCACATCGTAGGAAAAACTTCCAGAGAAAACCCACAGTTTAAAGGGGAAAAAGGGAGAAACCTTAGGGAGAGCATCAGAGGAAGGATCCCTCTCCCAGGACGGACAGACGTGCAATAGATGCCGTGTGTAAATTGAAGAGATAATACATTTACAACATAGGTAGTCCAAATGTTTGGAAATGCATGTGTCTATAATAAGAAGATGAATCCACGAGGATGTCAACAATCCTGTGGGAGCCATCAGGGAAGTAGTATGATGAGAGTCAGGCAGGACCACAGTGACAGCTTTTTTGCTTGTATCTTGTGTACAGGGTCACTCAAACACACAATGCTGATGGTTTTGTGTTATTCTGCTGCTGTACTGAGAAACTAAGCCATAAAGACCAGGAAGATTGGAACGCTAGCTGTAAACATGGATCTAAACAATGCAGATTTTAGAATATCTAAATACGATATTTAAAAAAAAATAGTAAATTAAACTCTGAATTCTACAAAGATAATATTTAATTGACACCAACTTCGGTATGCATCCAGGGTCTGAAAAATGTGGATGGACAAGAGGGACCTGCTGGACGTCCAGGTCCCAGGGGAGAGATTGGACTTCCTGGTCTACCTGGAGAAAGAGGACCCCCTGGACAGAAGGTGAACAAATTATAAATATTAACATAAAATCTGGTTGTATAAACTATTTTTTTAATTCCTGCTCTTCGTTGGTTCAGGGAGAACTTGGACTGCTGGGGGACCGGGGAGCAGCGGGAATCAAAGGCATGGAGGGGTCTTCAGGGGACCAGGGCAGGACAGGTGACCTAGGACCCAAAGGACAACCAGTGAGTATATACAAGCATTACGCATTTAAGCGAAAAAAACAACCTAAAATAGCTTGGTATAGTGTAATAAATATTGTGGCAAGTTTTTTTTAAAAGGCTCACAATTGAGGTTTAGATTTATAATGAGCATTTACATACAGTATGCATAATTAACTAAACTGTCATTAAGCAACATTTAAATATTCCAGTAGAAGTTAACTACGGTATTTACACTAAAACTGTGAAAAATTATCCTTTCGGTGTGAATGTCTTATGTGAAACCTGTTCCTCGTTCTACCCGTGTTATCAGATTGACACGTTTCACTTTTAATGTTTCACAAAACAGCAGGTCTTTCACAAGGGTTACTACATTCCTTGTGTTAAATTGATACCATCCCTTGGGTTTTATAAGCTTATATACTCTACGTTCTAGCTCTCTAAATATAGCTTCAGGGGGTTAGGTTGCCTTTGTGCGTGACTCTTTTCCACCGAGTGCAGAAACAACTTATCCGGGTGAGACCAGGAATGGAAACATTCCGAGTGGTGAGCCCAACTTATGTAAGATCCTCACCCTCCAGAGACCTGAAAGAGAGGTGCTCCACTTTTGTTATGTAACTCCTCAAAAATGAAGAGAAAAGAAACAACATTGGATCCCCTGCCCTCCCCACCCTCAATAGATTTCTCCGTTGATGCTCGTGAAACAGAGAGCAGACTCAGTCCCTTGGGTCCGATCGCTTTACACTCTTCACTGAATAGAGTTTCTCGATGAAGTTGCTGGCCCGAAAGCAGTGCTGTCGAGGATATGGATGACTGACTGTACAAACATAGTGTCTGCCACCCTGGACCTCAGACAGTGCTCATACACAGAATAGGGTACAGACATCAAACCCCACAGAGGGGTGTGTGTTAGTGGGCTGAGGCTACTGTAGTATCAGACATAAACCCTTGTGTGTGTGCCCCAGTCCTTTGGAGCAGTAGGTGAATGGCTCAAAACTGCTGTTCAGAATGTTCAATTATAGTACAAGTTTAGTAGAAGTTTAGTAAAAATGTAGACAATATGAGATTTATAGAAGTATTCAAAGACAATGACATTGTTCATTAACAGTATTTTTACTAACGTATTGAGTTTAAAATGTTCATAATATATTACAGGTAAACACTGCAAGTCATGGCAAGGGAATTTTGCACATACTGTGATTATGGTACAAAACGCATACACAATGACTGTGTGTAGAAGGCAAAGCTCCTCTGTTGCTATGATATAATTGTCTTTTCTGCTTGCAGGGGGAATCTGGAGATCTGGGATTGGTTGGTCTACAGGGCTTTCCAGGGCCAATGGTAAGAATGTTATCATATACAACATGATAAAACATAACGTTTATAAGATGACAATTTCACCGCAATTCACCTCCCCAACAGGGGCCGCATGGGGATCTGGGATTCAGAGGCTTCCCTGGCCCCAAAGGCCCAATGGGCACTGTGGTAAGTTTTGATATAAAAATAAAAAGTGCTTTCTCTACCACTTGGGTTAAAACCGCTGTAATGGGAAAGAAAAATAATACAAGAATCTAAAATACACCTTCAGATCTCTTTAACTTCTCTGTACACAAACGTTCTGTTGCGATCACTTAGGACACCCCGTAGTCTTGTGGCAAACGATACATTGCAAACACTTTTACAAGCAGTCTCATGGTTGTGAATGTATCAATTGAGATTCTCAACCCTCTTGTTTGTGTCAGGGATTCACTGGACCCGTCGGCCCTGAAGGAATGATCGGCCCAATGGGAAAACCTGTACGTTTCGTGTTGCATGTTTTTGTGTGTGTGTTGCAAGGCAATGGTCAGCAAATTCAGTAAAAACTGAGAATGATTTTGAAACTATAGAAGTCAGAGATGTTTTGCCATGTGCTTATTCAAGTTTATAAGAACAGTTTTGGACACAATGCTACTGAGTAAATGTTAATGTCGTTACGTATATTTCTTCCGTAGGGGCCAAGGGGTCCAAAAGGAAACGGTGGCGAAATGGTAAGATCTGTTTCAGACCATAACCAAACCAAAAAAAGTCTGTCGGACTGATTATATGATAATGGTTTTCAATGTGTGATTATACAGTATGCTTATATTCCGTGTAATTACATCATGATTGTACTTTGAGTCACTGGGCCGGTTATCATGACGCATTTTCGCAGCAGATTGTGGGTGTATAAAATACCAACTGTACATGACAAAGGCTGTGTTTTAAGATGCATAAAAGCTAGCTGGGGTTCATCTGTTGTTGTGTTTATGTGACTGACCTTAAGTGACTGCAGATCTGTATTCTTAGGTCAAAATAAAAGTAGCTGTGTTCAGTCTCGCTGTGGGGCCTTAGAAAACTCTCAGACCCTCTTGTGTAAACACTGTTGAGGAAATGCCTTGTCAAAATATTAGCATGGCTAACCACAGTGCAATCCACATATTCACTCCTATATCCCTGTTCCCACTCTGTAATGTAAACTGTAGTAAGATCTTCGGTTTAGCCTAAATCCCTCTGAAATGTACACTATCACACAGAAACAGACTGTGGACACAATGGCCCCTTCATTCTAGCCTTTTCTCAAAAACTGATGATGTTGCACATGTTCATGCTCTCACATTTATGGATATGAATTACCAGAAACCGCCTGTTTCATAAAATGCCCCCACCATTACTAATTGAAAATTGCACCAATGCATTTTGGAGGAGGTACTATTTTTTTCATTCTGGATAGACACATGTTCAAAGGAGAAAATGAATCATCATTCCCAGAAGTTAATTAGGTCCCATTCTGCTCTGTGTGTTTGCACTTTCAACATCCGATACAAATACATTTTAAAGCTCTCACATGCTAATGTGGTATAAATGCAAGGTGTTTTCACAGGTCAACAGAGCCAACAGGATAAACTGAATACATTATTATTACATCATGTTAACACTCATTTTCTTTCTCACATTCTCAGGGGCCACAAGGACCACAGGGAAGTCCAGGACCAAGTGTAAGTTAACCTTACTACCACTTTTCAGCTTTCTACGACAGTTCACATACTCTATATATGTCTAATTATAAAGCACTAAGGTTCATCTCGTGGTACATTATCTCTTACATTATGTAAAAGACATGTTTTAACAGAATGTGATCTGACACCAACCACATTGGGCTCAGTTGTCACTGTGTCACTCATCTTGTCTTCTTTCTTCCTACCTTAGGGACCCCCTGGGACTCCTGGTCCAACAGTAAGTGCTGTATGTCACTCATGTAGACAGGTAGTTAGGATCAGCTAGAAGGCTGGATACTTGTTTTTAATTTCATGTGAAAGACATAAGGTTTGGACCATAGAGTTGCAGGGAAAATCGTCCAGCTCTTACGGAGTGATTTAAAAATATCAATGATATAATGATGATGGCAGTCATCAATGCTTAGCCTTTTCTGGTCCTGATAAAAATCCTCTTCACGTTTCCTATCCGTCAGAATTTCTGGATTACAAAGCTTTCTGCTATCTGAATGACCTTTTCCTGTTGGAACAATTCCCCAGAAAAACAACACAAGAACCGAGAAAAACAACTACACCAGATATCTTTCTTTTTGTTTATACACCTTACTGTATGTGATATCCGTAGTGTTTATGCTGGGAAGAATGTGTTATTCTTCCCCCTACTTAAGAAAGGAATGTCAGGGACTTTTTGATGCAAGACTTATTTTACTACGTTGCTGTGGTATTAGGGTGTATTCTTATTCTATTCAACTTTTATAACTGTTGACTTTGAATCCACAGAGGCAGATGTATGTCGACTCAGCAATCTACGGTCTATCTGAGTCAAATGCTGCCCTGGGGACAGAGGTAAGGCACTAATACGCTCGGGCAGTTGAGGGGGTGAATGGCTGGATTCCTTATTGCGAGGACATACCAATTACTTTTTGTTGGTATTGCAAGTGTAATATTGATCTTTGGAGTCTCAAACGCTGTCTTTTCCGTTCTCTACCAGAGTTACCAGAACACAGAGATGAGCCTTCCAGAGCAGAATACAGAGATCCTTAAGACTTTACACTACCTTAGCAGCGTGATTGAGAGCATCAAAACGCCTCTGGGCACGAGGGAGAACCCGGCTCGTGTCTGTAAAGATCTGATCGAGTGTGATCACAAGCTGAAAGATGGTGAGTCTCATCTACCTGATACTGAGGGGATGGATGAGAGGATTTTAGGCATATGCGTTTTTTATTAATAAAATTCCTGTCTTGCTTTTCCTGTCTCCGTCTGTCCTCTCTTCGCCAACTGTTAGGTTGGTTCTGGATTGATCCAAACCTGGGCTGTACCTCTGATGCCTTCAAGGTCTTCTGCAACTTTACCGCAGGAGGGCAGACCTGTGTACATCCAGTGGCTTCTGATAAGGTAACATTAAAGTGGAACAAAGATGAACATGAATATGTCAAGGTACTAGATAAAACAAAGGACCATTTTAATGCTTAGTGTAAACCGTCCCCATCCATGTCAGTTGATTGTTTGAACTTCAATTAAGTGTTTTCTCGTCTACTTCCTTAATGCACATTTTGAATTTCAATTACATCATCTCGTCTGCAGTGTTCTGACTAGAAAAATGAAATGACTGCTATACCTCTTTTTACCTCAAAGAAACACTATTATTGGTTGTATAAAAGTAATCTTAACATGCCTTAATTCACATTTAGTTTTTCTAATTTTCTTGACATTCAGTTAAAATGTGCGATTAATTTGGATGGAAACCTAGCACCAATACACAACAATGGGATTAATTCAGATTAATTTAGTAACTTAACTGCAAAAACCCTTGGCTCGTCCTTAAGCTTGACTTTGTTGGATGTTGTGTCCAACTTTTCAAACTGAATTTTAAATTATAAAGGCAGACTGAGCACACTGTTTCTGCTCTCAACCACAGATGGTGTTTGGGGTAGGGAAAGTCCAAATGAAGTTCCTCCACTTACTGAGCACTGAAGCCAGTCACAGCATCATGCTCCACTGCCTGAACGACCCTCCCTACGGCACCACCGGCAGCCTCAGCTCCACCGGACCCTCACAACGAGAAAACGGCACCCTACGGTTTCAGGGCTGGAACAAACAGATGTTTGAGAAAGACACACTACTTGAACCACATGTGCTGCAAGACGAGTGCAAGGTAATGATCATGACAGAGAAATGTTTTTGCAATATTATGAAATACTTATTAAAATATATTCTATCAAATGTAAGATTAATCACTTTGTATTGTCTCCTCTACGCATCCTTCTTCAGATCCAAGATGGCAGCTGGCACCAGTCACGTTTCTTCTTCCATTCTCAGGACAGTCGTCAGCTTCCGATTGTGAGCATACAGGAATTTCCCACATCACAGCCCACTAGTCAGCGACGTATAGAAATCGGTCCGGTCTGCTTCCTTTGAACCCTGTAACAAATTACATGAACTATTAAAATGCAAGGCTGTTGCAAAAGCTGCCTACCAAAGAGCAAGTGTCTCTGACAGTGTTGTAATCCACTATGCGAGCAACAACTGCCCCATGTACAATCAAAAGCACGCTTACATGGAAGAACTCAATCTCTCCGGAACATCCGGGCCAAGAAGGCCAAAGGAGAGGTGTATACCAATATTTATCATAAATTGTATGTACAAAAGTATGTTTTTCATTGATAATTAGTCAAACGGTGCTTAGGTTGGCTGTACAGACATCACTCCCTGATCACAGGCCAGGGTCTCACTTAGCAGCAGCCTATTCTAACCTCAAAAATCACACCCCCCCCTCACGCCCAAGCGCACCCAGACATCCACAACAGAGGCCTAACCCGAAGGAGCGTGCCAGGCCTCTACATAGGAGCACTGTCTATCCACAGTTTTTCTATGAGTGCAATAGCATGTGCATAATGTGTGACTGCTTGATATTTCACTTTCCGATCAAAGGCTACATGTATATGATACATTGATTTAACTTCCTTCGGTCCTGCCCAGTATGACCCGTACATCTTGACAGATGGTGCTCTACCTCTACTTGGTCAATTGCTTTCTAGATAGTTGCTAATATCAAATTAGTGTTTTTTTTGCCTTTGTGTTGTATGTACCGGTTACATCAAGATTTGTTTTTTTGTCTAAGTACTTATGTTCATTTGGTCATTTCTAATTTATGAACCATTTTTTTATACACTACATTTTATTGTAGCCTTTCCTTTTAAGTGGTAGGTTCTTCAGGGGAAACCTATCATTGGTGCTGCAAAACAGAATGTTTCATCAGTGAGTTTTACATTTCCTGTGTATATATGGACAGCATACTGTATGTTTATTTATATCCTTTTTTGTTTGTGTTCACATTACTGTACCACAGTAAGTTATACTCTCAGAGAACTATTTGGTCCATCACAACTCAGTCTAAAAAAGTATTTATGTGTTAACGGTGTGTTTGTGTGTTCACGCCTGTGACTGTATGTTTATCATACTGTCATTTTGGTTTAGTCAGTGGTGGTTGGTTAGGTTCACTGGCAGCTACATAGAGCCAGTCAGATTACACAAAAACCCATTCATCATATTAAGTTATGTTACCTTGAACAAAGTGTAATTATATAAAGTTTGTGCAGGATAAAGGTGGATGCAAATGTGTAAATAATAAATATGTTGTCAAACAAATAAATGGAGCATTTTTATCCACAAATGGTTTTGTAGTGTTTTTGAAATGCTTGGACTTGTAAAATATCCTCAAATGCTCTTGAATTTTAGATAAGTGTATTTTATTTTATATTATTTATATTGGGGAAAGATGATCAACACAATGTTATGTTAATTGTACATTTTATATACTTACATGCCTCTTATGGCAATCCCTTTAGCATAGGTTTTCTATCTGAACTGCAACATATCTAGATGCACGTAACTCAGTGAAACCGCTGATCAGATGTGGTTTGTGCAAATAATTTCTCTCACACTTGCACATTCCTTAAAGAAATACAGATATAAATCTGCAATGACTCCAACCCCAATAAACTCATCCTGTATATGCATACAGTATTTGAGGTGAGGAACTAAACTTGGAAAAAACACCAAGTATTGTTGAAATCATAAACACTTGCAGTTACATGGTGGTCATAAAAAAACATTCCGCAGCTGCAGTAATAGCATTTGTTGTTATTTTCCTACAAGATTGTTTACTTACTATTAGCAAAACAAGACAATACATTTCAATGTTGTCTGAGGAAACTTTTTGCAAATGTGTTCCAATAGCACTTGCATTATACTGTATTTGGACAGATGTTCTTCGCATCAGCTCAGTGTTATTTTAGCTGATAGTGTGTTTACTTTGACGCCACTGAATGAAGGTGTAGTTCTCCCCCACTAACACCGGGAGGCGCCACTGAGCTGGTCTCTAACCGGAACTCCCCTCCACGTGCTGCCGCTGGCCTCCGGCGGAAGACAGTTTGTTTTGAAGCCGCGGAGCTGTGTCCAACGTGCGGCTACACTTCTCTCATGTGCTCTGTAAAAGTCCCAGCAACAGACATAATGTCAACCATGGACAGCCAGGTGGAAAACAGCGACAAAGAAGAAGAGCTGAAAGCGAGCAAAAGAAAGATATCTCTCTGCAAGTAAGTGCTTTAACAGACAGGAAGTCATTATAAAACTCCAAACTTCAGCTAGCACACAGCTTCATGATGGTTTTAATGTGTGTTCGTTCTCACCATTGTATAAATTATACGTATATGAATAGGAGCATATAAATAACAATAAAGCACGCTTAATAGCCGTATGTGCTAGTTAGCTAACGTTAGTAACAACGTTAGCACACTCCTCTTGTTCTAGGAGTTATTTCGCCCTCACTCTAATGACTGACTGTCATTACTTCCGCTGATGTTTGTATGTTTTTCTGTTATGCTGGTTTCCTTAAAGGTAGGTTGTTATTTTCTCTTTGTTGCCTGTGTTTTTTGTTACAATTCACCTGTAAAACTGCCCGCACATGTGTGTGCCCCTGCTGACATGTTGTCTGTCTGCAGATGTGGAGTGTGTGGATCAGAGGAGGCGAAGTACAGATGTCCTGCCTGCCTGGCCCACTCCTGCAGGTGAGATCGCTGTTCAAGGAAATGCAGTTGTTTTACTGACAAATTAACACATGAGGTGACACACAACAACACAATTACTACTTAATGTGTTTTTGTCTTTTTTTATACATGTGAGAGGGTGGAAATGTTGCACATTTAGTCAAAGTCAGCTCTTTAGAATTGAATTAGCTTATTACCCCCCTTTTTTAATGTGACAGGACTTAATCCATAGGGTCTGATTCATAGACACTTGTTTGAATTCCCTTAAGTGTCATTTTGCCCTTAGTTATTGGTGATACTGATAACCCTATAAGGATAGAACAAATAACAACATTTGGTCCATTCTTAGAAAATCCATTGAACCAATTACTTTAGTGTCAATAGTTGACCGATATTATTTATACGTCATTATTACTTAGCAATAGTATACTGCACTTAGTTTTTTTTTTTTTTGTATATCCAGATAACATGTAAGCATGTTTCTATATCTTAAAGTATAATATTTTCAATTATTTATACATACATACATTTGATCTTATTAAACTGTGTTTATGTATGCACCATGTACACCAAGGCAAATTCCTACTTGGCAATAAACCTGTTTCTGATTCTGATTATATTTCATGAAGCATAAAAGCTTAGTCTTTTGTGTGAGATATCTCTAATGAAAACTCAAAAAAGGTTCTGCTTTTTCTGATTTAAAAAAAACTAAAACCTCTGAAGTATGATTCAAATAAATAGTTACAAAAAATGTCTTTTGTCTTTGCTTGCATCAACATATTACTTGTTTCTGTTCTTACTGACAGGACTTTACTGTTCCATGTCCAGCAACAACATGCTGCAGATAATGGCGATCGTCCATGGCCTAATACTTAAATTCTGTGGATGCTGAAGCTTTTACGACTTCACCTTTCAGTCCTTAATGGCAGATTGAAGGTCATGGCACCAGGGGATGTACTTCCCCTGTCTCCCATGGCTGCATGTTGTTTCAGGCATCATTCAGCATTCCTTTGATATAGTTTCTGAGTTTACCGTATTTGTCTGTCACTGGCCAAATACCTGTCTTCAAAAAAAAATGGGTATTTCCATGCCTGGTATTTTTTTAGTTGGATCTTTCAGAAAGCAAATAACAGCCCCTTTTATAATTATTTTGGCTTCAGTGATGTTTGAAAATTCCGCTCCGTCAAAAAGTGCCGAATTGCTGGGTTGGAATATTTATTAAGGTCATTAACTGAAGTAACAAAGGAACCAGGGAGTGATATCAAAAACCAAACCAAACCGTTTTTTCTAAAACAAATGTTAGCTTTCTAAATGTCCATGTGGTGAGTTATGTGTAGGTGTCCTTTTTTAGTGATTAATGTTTTTAATTCAGTGTTTGTTTGATTAGTATTCTAAGCTGTTTATTATAGAAGCTTTCTGATTGAAATGTTTAGCCTAACCAACACTATAGCGTTAGGTTAACGAAGAAAAAAAACCGACTGTTATGTGTTTTACTCTTTTTATGGTTAATCTTATGGACTTTATGAGTATGTTACTAGATTCGTGTTAATAACTTAACCCTCCTGTTATCCTTGGGGTCAATTTGACCCTATTCAATGTTTAACGTATCTAAAAAAATGGTTCACATTATTTGTTTTGCTTAGTACTTCATGACTTTTCCTAATTTAGTGAGGACTAATGGGTAAACATAAAATGAACATGATAAATGTCCTGTACGCACTTTGTACGCATCGGTGTTCCTTGGGGTCAATTTGACCCCAGGCTGTTTTAGTAGTATAAAACATATAAAATGTCAATATTTTACACATATTTGTGTTGATTGTGTAGGATGATATTGAGGTGACTATTACATGCAAATGTATCATTGTAATAAAAAAACTACCCTCTGCTTTAGTTATTGGTCCTTTAACAACATCAAAAAGATCTTACTTTAACATTTTATTTCAGTCAGTGAGATTTTATGGTGATTTATATATTTGTCGATAGTCACATAATAGGAATTCTGGATGTATAAAGGGGTCTGTGGGGGGGGAGGTTGGGGTAATGTTTTATTTAAATGGTTATTTAGGTAGTTGACTAAGATACCTAAAGCACCAGAGTTGGTTAAAATGTGGAATATGATCATTGTCTTGAGTTTAAACTACTGGGGTCAAATTGACCCCAGAGGATAAAGGGTGTAAAGTAAATCTGAGGATAACAGGAGGGTTAAACTGGAATCACTATGATATGATGTATTGTAGTCTGATCCTGCTGTCACACTGTCAGATTTGCTTTTAGTAAAACTTGGTGAGGGCTAAAGCGTGTCAGTTGGTATTAGTAAGTGGAGCCAAAATGCTGCCAGCTTCCTCTGGTGCTGTGTTTATGTCTGGGTCAGCAGTTGATCCATGTTGTCCACAAATGTCTGAATCAAGGAAACATCATCTTGTTTTCCCTCGGTCTTTCTCCTAGCACCCAGATATGAAAAACCTTTCTGGAATGATGATAACCTCTTTAGCTTATCTAGTGTTTGTCCATGTGCAGCGCTGGTTATTTGCTTTAGGCAGGGGTTTATATTTGTCCATCTCAGTTCCGCAGACCATCAGTCCTTAGATAACATTTGCATGTTATCTTCCATCCTTCTCTGTCCAGTGTTCTTACTGCTGTTCTTCGAGCACTGTCTAGACAAGCTGAAATGAAGCCAAACCAAATTCCTGTAAACAATTGAGGCATTGTCTAACACATTTTGTTTCTGTACATTTCCCAGGTTGCTGTGCGTGAAGAAACATAAGCAAGATTCGGGATGCAATGGAATTCGAAATAAATCTGCCTTTGTGACCCTCTCACATTTTGATGAAATGACACTTCTAAATGGTGAGCATCTTCTGTACTCTCTACCGTGACAGAAAAAAACGTTTTAGCTTGACTGTCGAATTGAAGCATGTAAACACCATATCCTGTTTATGAGATACCTGAATATGCTAGTTGGTGTACTCCTGGCCTGCTGTTGCATGTATACCTTATAATACCTTATTTATATTTTCTGTTACTCATCTTCCAGTTCTGGTTTGTTTTTGTAAACATCACAATGTTTGATGCAGTGATATTTTAACCCTATTTCTCTTTTCTAATGTAAACATATCCTGAATATGATTAACACCGGGATACGCCTTATTACTGGATTACACAAAAACACTTATTGAAGAGCAATCATCACTTCAAGTAAAATGTACCAGAAAATTGTGAAGAATATTATTTTTGTCATTGTTGGCAGCAGATATGTGTTTCTTTAAGCATAAGAAAAAATTATAACTGGTACAGATTGTATTAATGTTTCGTGTTACAAACACAAATGCTTATTTTTTACTTGGGTATTGGTGTTTACCTTTTGTCCCCTACCTGCTCTCTAGACTACAGACTCCTGGAGGACACAGGACGCTTTGCAGACGGTGCCACCAGAGACAAGCTCATCCAGACTCCTCGCTCCACTTTAAAAGTATGTTGTATTTTGAACTGTACCTCTAAGGTTACCTCAGGAGTTTGCTCGGCCCACATATTGTTTATTTTGTGCAAACGGTTGCAACTTTGTCTTAGTTTCACACTATTCCACGGATCAACAGGTAAAAGAA